GACCAGCGCGGGGTATGCTTAAACCTCTTATTCTAGATGTCAGGTAACTTACTCGTGTTTATGGTGGATTGCTGTCTGATTGACGAATATCCGTCATTTTATATATATATATATAACAAACAAATTTAAATTATATATATATATTACGGTGCGAACCGAAAAAAATCCTGAATTTGAAAAAAAAGCCGACCACCTCCTAAAATGGAAAGGTGGTCGGCTTTCAAAAGAAGGTGGTCGGTACACCCGGCTTAAATGCCGAATGGAAAACACTGGTCCAATATTAAGTTCAGGCTTGTTTAAAAAAAGGAACAATTGAATAACGTTATTTATGCACAGTGGATTACCACTGGAAAAGTGTATAGTTGGTAGAGAGGAAATTCTTCTCCAACAAAAGTATACATTTTGACCCGACACAAACTGAAATAAGATCCATTTACCTTTGAATGGATGTTTTTTTTTCACATTCAGTTGAATCTTCGTTAAATTACACAAAACACTGTTAGCTACATTAAATATCTTTTCAATTTGAAATGCCCTTTCATGCAATTTGTGCTTGATACTTTTGTCCAAATTTTCATTTATAATTAATTTTTCGAAAACTTTCTTCTTTGCGTGCAAAATGATATTCATTTGTATATGATATAACAATAATTTTGAACAAAGAATGATGCACATTACAATATTAGTTACATATAATTGTGAAACCTTTTTTTATAAGGGTGAATTCTATTCTTCATAACAACTCAGGTATTGCAAACAAAGAGTACATGAAATACAATTGAAATATATTGGATTGTAACAAAATAAGGAAATGTGGTAAAACCCATGACAAAATAAGAATAATTCAAACGAGAAAACTAACGTCTTGATTTATGTACAAAACAACAAACGAAAATCAAATATGATGTACAGCAACAAACGACAACCATTTCATTACAGACTCCTGCATTGGGACAGATACATACACAATGTGGCTTGGCTACACGTATTTGCGGGCGACCAATCCTCCCTTAACCTGGGAAAATGGCGTAGCAGCACAACATATAAGAACAAACTATAATAAGCAGCTGTGCCAAGAGCGCATAATACACCCGCATTGTGCATTTTACAATTGTTGCGATGATAAAAATGAAAAAATGTAGTTGTTAGTAAAATGTAGAAAATATAGATGATAATATCTTTAGGAGCATAACTATTGTGTCAAATATGATTGTTAAAAGTCCCATGACTCTAGAACGACAAACTAAGAAATGTTAAAAAAATCTAAAGTTAGTCAACACTCAAGAACCTCAACCATAGTGTAAAGTGTGTAGTAAACTGATATGGGCATACTAGAGATACACATGTAAATTTTTTCCTTTATTAATTAGACGGTCAAACTACCATAACTCTGAAATGACAAATTGGTAAATTTTCAAAATCGAATGATAATAAACTTTCAACTAATCCAACACTTGTGCAAAATTTCAAGTAAATAATTTCAAGCATACTCAAGTTATGGTACATGTGAAAAAATAAGTTCGAAATGATCGTAAAGTACCGTAACTTTGGATCGAGAAACCAGAATATTTTAAGAATCAAAAGGGAGTTTTCTTTTATCAGTCCCAACAATAACGTAAAGCTTTAAGGAAATCAACCCAAGTATACTGGAGTTAGTGTGTTATATGTAAAAAAATGCCTTAGATCTGATGGTTCTACTCCGGAACAACGAAAAAAAAACGATAAATCGAAATGAGACTTTCTTCCATCAATCCTAATGTTGTGTTAAAATTTCATGGGAATTGGTTTAATCAAATTTGATTTTCCGCACGAATTGTTGACGGACGGACGTACTAACAGACGGAATAACGGACATATGGACTATGGTATTCCACAATTCGTCCCTTCTACGTCAGGCATATAAAAATCAGTTTGAAAAGGGCTTGACTAATCAGATAGATACAAAGCACAAACTAACTAACAAAAACACTAAAGACATAAAGCACCGAACTGAGATTACTCGCAGCTAGTGAAAGCTAGTTCAAAGCTAATAACAAGTAATTAAAAAATCTTGTATCCAAACAAAGTTAGATTAAACTGTACTTTTTCAAGGACAGACGTGCTACATTTTGTCTTAAATCGTATCCCTTTTGTATTTGTTGCAAGCTTTATTTTCATACAATAAAGATATTCGCATAATTATATTGAAAAAATGTGATAATACAGTTGGGAAACCCATAACCCAAGTCCATTAGAAAGGTGACTCTTCGTATGATAAAGGCGACAAAATCAATAGTTGTTTACCCTGGTAACCACACTAAAGAAAAGCTATTTCTAAAATAAAATCGTACATTTTGAACAACTTATCGGTTAAATAATTTAATTTGAAATACATATACAGATACAAATTGTCTTATTTTCATTATTTAGCGACAATTCTAGCATAGTTCTAAGCATAATACAATTTCCAAAATAGACGTATTTTCCAAAACTAATTTTTAGAGCACGCCGGTCATCTCATAGTCATGAGAACTTACAAAATAAAATTATTGTCTATTTTTTTTTTCATTGTTGAAGGCCATTTGGTTCTGCGTTATTTGGTCTCTGGTGGGGTGGTGTCTCATTGGCAATCATACCACATCTTCCTGTTTGAATTCGCATAGTGACTTAAAATTTCAAAGTATAAATCTTTGCTGCATATCAATCGATTTTGTCGGTATGTTTTTCAAGAACTTCTCTAATCCAGCTGTAAATATATACGGGCACTTGTCATGTTCCAGTGATGTATACAGTTACTCAATGAATTTAGGGGTGTGCTCCTTTCACAAAAACTGCACTAAAAGAGTTAACAGGAAGAACGACTGAAATCGACATAATATGGTAGTGTTACATCTTAAAAAGTCTATCCGAATTATTTCGCCATAAAATCTGCTCAAACCGGTGCAAGGGGCCGTCTTAAGATTGCAGTGAGGTGAGAGTTTTTTTTTGGCTCCGTGTTAAAGGCTTTACTGTGACTTTGAGATTAAGTACAGCAATAAAAGCGTTGTTCCTTTGCTTTATGTGTTTTTGTTGCTGTGCATGTACTGATTTTGTGTCATGGATGGATACCCCATATACTTTGTTTTTCGATTATAATAGATGTTTTACGGTCACGATTTGGTTATCTGATACGAAGTGCTGGTGTCTCAACTCACTAGCGACATGTATTTGCGGTCTTAAATTTTTAGAAACCCGTGTAGTCGTCTAATTTGTTATTTTACCTATTGTGTCCGATTCCCGATTATGACATTTTGACTGAGTGTGAATTCACATGGCGGGTGAAGCATGCATAGCAGTAGAATATACCCCGTTGACGCACTCGGTCTTGTCCATTTCGGTATTTTTGTTATTTTACTTTTTATTTTGGCATTCATGATATTCCCTGTTTGTTTTATTACCTTGATTTCTTTCTTCTTAATCGATTTGCAAAATTTGAACATAGGTAAACTACTGTCGCCTTAACTTCTCTTCATCAAATATCTTTGTCTTTTAGATATATAATACGCAAGAAAAATGAAAATAACACTGTATATTAAATTGGTTTAAGCGTTTTAAGGATAACACTGTATCTTAAATTGGTTTAAGCGTTTTAAGGATAACACTGTATATTAAATTGGTTTAAGCGTTTTAAGGATAACACTATATATTAAATTGGTTTAAGCGTTTTAAGGATAACACTGTATATTAAATTGATTTAAGCGTTTTAAGGTGCTTTCTGGATTAACCTTTACCAAGAACACTCATATCCCAAAAATGAACACATGAAGAGCAATATGATCAAAATTACATAAAGAATAACCAAATCCATCTAAGGACAACTGTCTCAAAGAGCATGATTAAGTTAGAAAAATCTAACGTGTACAACATTTAACTTTTTTAAAATTCAAGTCTTGGTAAGTTAAATCAACTTTCCGATTGTTGCTTTCATAGTGACCGAAAGGGAAAATTTGCTACACCTCTCGTCCATTTGGACTTTATGATCTGGGAAATATTTCATAGGCATGTTGGCGAAAGATGGGATTTAATATAATGCCGTGCTAAATTATAATATAAAAATAAGAAGATTTGGTACAATTGCAAGTGAAACTACTGTCTACCAAAGACCAAATAACGTAGATGTTAGCAACTATTGGTCAACGTACGACCTTCATCAATGAGCGAAACTCATACCGCATAGCAAGATATAAAAAGTAACACCATGACAAAATGTAAAACAATTCAAACCAGAAACCCAACGGCCTGATCTACAAAACAATAAACGATACACATCAACTAACGACAATCACTGAATTACAGGCTCCTGAATTGGGACAGGCACATACATAATGTGGCGGGGTTAAACATGATTGCCGGCGCCGTACTCTCCCTTAACCTAGAACAGTGGTGTAACCGCACAACATACTAACAAATTGTCAAAATCCGTTGAAAAGGGCTTGACTCGTCAAATCGATTCAAGTCAGGAACCTGATGTTCAGTGGTTGTCGTTTGTTGATGTGGTTCATAAGTGTTTTTCGTTTCTCGTTTTCTATATAGATTAGACCGTTGGTTTTCCTGTTTGAATAGTTTTACACTAGTCATTTTGGGGCCCTTTATAGCTTGCTGTTCGGTGTGAGCCAAGGCTCCGTGTTGATGGCCGTACTTTGACCTATAATGGTATACTTTTACAAATTGTGACTTGGATGGAGAGTTGTCTCATTGGCACTCATACCACATCTTCTTATATCCATATAAAAGCATTGAACAAAAAGACTAAATACACAAAGTACCGATATGAAAGAACTCGCATTTATTGAATGCTAATTCAAAGCCAATAATAACTAATTAGAAAAATCATGTTTACAACACGAAATATCAGACTATACACAACCAATGGATTTAGTATAAACACTTCACAGTCTGAGAAAAACATTACCTTGTGCAATGGCTAAATATAAGTATCGACAGAATGTAGGACCGGAAGTTTTAATAACTGTAAAGCAATACATATTTATTTATGTTTTAATTTATTGATAACAAAATATATGTTAGTACCGATTAAAACAATATTCAAAGATTTTAAATATGTTTACATGCCTTGCCGGATTTCTTTTTAAAGTTTCCATGCTAAAAATTAGTAGGATTTAAAAAAAAAGATATTATATATAATGATTTCATATACAACAGTTGAAACCTATTTAACGTAATGATTACTTAGGCGATATAACCACTAGTATCTCACGAAATGATTATTATTTAGGCGATAGAACCACTGCTTTCATATTCTTCAATCTCTGAAAGAACATCAAGTCGTCCAATGTCTGACAAATGATCTTTCAATTCTGAAACATGTTTTCCACCACTGATCCATTTGTCTAGTAGTATTTCTGTAGGACTGTCTTGTGTTTCTAACCATTTTATTTGTTCATATGTGTAACCAATTTTCTCTGCCAGTATTCTGTAATCATTGTCTGATTTTGGATCTAATTTTAAAATCATTTTTTGAAGCAGTTTATGCTCTGGTCCTACGTTTTCCTTCAGAGCAAGAGGTGAAAACTGAAAAAAGACGTTGATAATAAGCGATTTACTTTTTTTATGATATTATTTTTATTGTACAGTCTGTTTCATTCATTCTATTTATTAACTAAGATGATAAGCGAGGTTTGAGTAAACACAAAAATTTAAAACTTCATCATATATATGCGTTTTTTCTGTAGTAGTCGGAGTCATTTGCCTTTATAGACTTTTGTTAATTGTGAATATAGTGTAAGTTACTGTTATATAGACTATTGTGGATTGTGAATATAGTGTAAGTTACTGTTATATAGACTATTGTTGATTGTGAATATAGTGTAAGTCACTGTTATATAGACTATTGTTGATTGTGAATATAGTGTAAGTTACTGTTATATAGACTATTGTTGATTGTGAATATAATGTAAGTTACTGTTATATAGACTCTTGTTGATTGTGAATATAGTGTAAGTTACTGTTATATAGAGTATTGTTGATTGTCAATATAGTGTAAGTTACTGTTATTTAGACTATTGTTGATTGTGAATATAATGTAAGTTACTGTTATATAGACTATTGTTGATTGTGAATATAGTGTAAGTTACTGTTATATAGACTATTGTTGATTGTGAATATTGTGTACGTTACTGTTATATAGACTATTGCTGATTGTGAATATAGTGTAAGTTACTGTTATATAGACTATTGTTGATTGTGAATATAATGTAAGTTACTGTTATATAGACTATTGTTGATTGTGAATATAATGTAAGTTACTGTTATATAGACTATTGTTGATTGTGAATATAGTGTAAGTTACTGTTATATAGACTATTATTGATTGTGAATATAGTGTAAGTTACTGTTATATAGACTATTGTTGATTGTGAATATAATGTAAGTTACTGTTATATAGACTATTGTTGATTGTGAATATAATATAAGTTACTGTTATATAGACTATTGTTGATTGTGAATATAGTGTAAGTTACTGTTATATAGACTATTGTTTATTTTGAATTAAGTGTAAGTTACTGTTATATAGACTATTGTTGATTGTGAATATAGTGTAAGTTACTGTTATATAGACTATTGTTGATTGTGAATATAGTGTAAGTTACTGTTATATAGACTATTATTGATTGTGAATATAGTGTAAGTTACTGTTATATAGACTATTGTTGATTGTGAATATAATGTAAGTTACTGTTATATAGACTATTGTTGATTGTGAATATAGTGTAAGTTACTGTTATATAGACTATTGTTTATTTTGAATTAAGTGTAAGTTACTGTTATATAGACTATTGTTAATTGTGAATATAGTGTAAGTTACTGTTATATAGACTATTGTTGATTGTGAATATAATGTAAGTTACTGTTATATAGACTATTGTTGATTGTGAATATAATGTAAGTTACTGTTATATAGACTATTGTTGATTGTGAATATAGTGTAAGTTACTGTTATATAGACTATTGTTTATTTTGAATTAAGTGTAAGTTACTGTTATATAGACTATTGTTTATTTTGAATTAAGTGTAAGTTACTGTTATATAGACTTTTGTTAATTGTGAATAAAGTGAAAGTTACTGTTATATAGACTATTGTTAATTGTGAAAATAGTGTAAGTTAATGTTATATAGACTATTGTTAATTGTGAATATAGTGTAAGTTACTGTTATATAGACTATTGTTAATTGTGAATATAGTGTAAGTTACTGTTATATAGACTATTGTAAATTGCGAATGTAGTATCAGTTTTAACTGTTTTGAATAATAAATATTCTGAAATAATCATTTTTTTCTTTGAATAGTACATTGTTCTTATTTTATTATTTCCATTTTGGTTATATGATTGAAAGATGCCTTTTAGCTTGCAACATTTCTGTGATTTATCATTCATTGGTTGTTTTAATTTGTTTCTTCTGGTTTTTCACTTATGAGATTATAGAGAAGGGTTGGGCACTTTCTTTACATTTTTAATTTGGTGTTTTTATACAAGATCGTCAAAAGTCATAAATTTGTCTAGACCAAGTGATGCTTTAAATTTTGACAAAGGGTGTTTGTTTTCGACTGTACATTGTAGAAGATAGTAATATCCCAGATATGTATGTTTGTTATCTGTAATTTGTTGTTTGCTTGCTTTCTAATATAGGGATTCCTTTTGTGCTATCATCTAGTAATCGTCAAACTGTTTGATCTCATAGAATTTCCATTTACCAGAAAAGCAATGGAGCCATAACATTGAATGATGAATTCATATTATAAAGCATGGATTATTGACATTAGTGCAAAGAACTTACAGTTATTTTACAGATCGGAATTTATCATGGTATGTGCAACAAATAATGAAAATGCTACAGCATTGAGAAAGACAGCCTATGAAACGATTGATTAGATTTCTTCCCTTACATAGACTGTACTACTCTCAATCCCTTCATCAATAAGCTTTTTTATATCAACAGTTGATATACTACAACATTATGAGTGGAATATTCCCCAAAACTTTTAAAAAAATAAAATACCTGTATTTGTTCCTGTGCAACTTTAAGACTTCGCACCTTTGTTGATGGATGTTGGTTGTAGTTGAAATCGCAGACTATTTTGCTAACAGATGTCTCAGGATGAAAAAGAAACTTGCAGGATGGTGACAAACAATGCCACATGCATTCGAAATCAATATTCTAGTAAATAAATTAAAGTATATATCAAATAAAATTACACTATTTATGAAAATTTATCAGTCTACCACAGTCGAACTGTATTTATCAGTCTACCACAGTCGAACTGTATTTATCAGTCTACCACAGTCGAACTGTATTTATCAGTCTACCACAGTCGAACTGTATTTATCAGTCTACCACAGTCGAACTGTATTTGTTTGTAATAATATGATGATTATTAAAAAATAGAAGATATAATTTTGTTTAATCTGCGTTCCCTTTGAATGATGAAACACTCCGTAAGTTTTATTCATAATGAAGAAGCCTTGTAATGTTAACGGTTTTGATGGCAGAAATTTCCCCACAGATTTATTTTATACCGTGATATAGAATTTGACTGTGCGCATGTCTAGACGTTTTTGTATTTTGTTTTATTCTGTTCGTTACAACACAGTGGTACTTTTAACAGTGTTATAAATTCACTCAACAAAGATTATATATATATATATATATATATCTTTATATAAATTGAAATTTGTATCATCAGAAGATGGTTTTATAAAAGTTATCACAGCTTGTTACCAAATTTTGATTTGTTAGTAGATTAGTTTGAGGTATTCTACATTTGTATTTTTGATGAAATAAAATTTGTTTTAACTAAACGAATGCAACAGTTTCTTGCAAGGGACCTGAGCACAGTCATATCATAGGTATATAACCATATTACAAATGCTTATAGAAAGAATCAATACAAACATGCTGTGGATAATTGATTTTGTGTAGGAGTATTTATTAAAATAAAATAAAAAAATTAGGTAGGGCAGTTTGTCTTCCCAATACAATTTCGTTTTGGTTCAGGATTTCCTTTATTATAATATTTAAAAGAAAATGAGCACTGCATTATTTGATATAAACTGTATTCGACAACAATGTGTTAGGAACTGAATTCATTTTATTCAGATATTTGTAGAAATTTAGGGAGATACGCCATTTTAAATCTTACATTCAAATTTCATGAATGTTTTTGTCACTGTTATGAAACAAATGTACAGAAACTTTACCTCAGCACTAATTATCGACTCTTTCCATTACAATAGAACACGTCATGTGCACCTGATATACCAGAAATGTAATTTACCAGACCAATTCTTATATTCAAAGTGTTTCAGTTGTGTACCTGAGATTTTCCACCATCAGTTTTCCATCCCTTTGAAACATTTATTAAGCTTACAGTCACATCCTCACCATTATCATGAATAAAAAATGGCTGCAGAACATCAGCTTGTTTCTCATTAAGCTTTACTGTCTCCCTTTTAATGTCCTAAAATAAATTTCAAAAAAAAAAAAAAAGAAAAACGACGTTACATATCATTTGTATGAGGTTTTGTATTTTTGGCGTGGGAGAATGAAATCTGACTAGACCTTCGAAATTGAATATCCCTTATTAGTTTTAGAGTCGTTGAACAAAATACAATGGCACTCTCTGGCGAAAGATTCAGGCATTCCAAAAGAATATACTTGAATCATGATGTCCTATTATTTTGTGCTAATTTTTTTAATTTTTACTGTGTTCCTCGAATAAATGGAACTGTCTAAAAATGTGCTTACGTACAAACATCTTAAAATCACGAAAATTTGCTTAGCCAGAAGTACAAAATTAAACCTTCGTCGTTGTGAGAGTTTTCCACCTTTTTATGTTTAGAAATAAAAACTTGACAGTCCATATATAAAGCTCAGACGTCTCACTATTGAAGTATCATATTGATATCATGTCCATGGTCTCACTAAGTGGTAAAATATGACACGTGTTTCTAGAACTACCTTCATCATGTTTACACTAGTGAACAAAATTTGTAAGCTAAATTATAAAATGTTTTAGGGCATACATACCAGCAGGGCATATTCATATTATCTGATGTTATTTATTTTCAAACCTAATCATTTCTAGGCATTATATACATTATAAGTTGACATAATTTTTGTATTATTTAGAAGAAATATTTATCTCTCAAAAGTATAAATTTCACTTGCAGAGTTTTAGGAGAAATTTACGTTTACCCCAATTTATCGTGCATTTTTGCAAATAAATTTTCTAGATTGTCTCATTTGCAATCATACCAAATCTACTTATTTTATATTTCTAGATTGCATATGTTACTTGCATACTGACCTTTAGTCTATTGAATACCATCTCCATAAAGTAAGCACTAGAGCGGTTTCGAGAAAAAACGACATTTGCACGCAAGCAAACGAGAGATAAAGAAGATGGTGGTGAAGGACATTGTGTCCTTACTGGAGGCATCAGAGCAGCAGGAATTGAAAGTATCATCAATGTTGCTGAAAGATTTGGAACTATACTAATATATGGTGATTGCTCTAATAAATATAAATAATGAGCTATTTTGTAGTCATTAACCTCAAAGCACGGCATTAAGCAGTTATGTATGTCCTATAGGTGGAAAGAACATTTTTTGCTTGACATAGAGGTCACTATATAGATATTTTCGTAAACATAATTAGAGTCTCTGGTACAATTCACTCACCTTCATTTCATCATAGTTATTGATGCAATACATTCGCACAGTGAACATTTTATCTCTTTGTAAAGGAGACGTAAAGGCTAAAAGGTTCACTGCCTTCGCGGCTGTTTTTCCTTCCAAGCTTTCTCCAACAACTGCATATAGCGTAAAATGTCCTAATTTTAATACTGCTTTATTGTCGCTTATATCAATGTCACCAGCATTCTCTTCTTGGAGATCTCTCCATTCACAATTCTTACAATGGAAATCATTTTCTCTGTTCAATACTTTGAGCATCCAGTTTTCCTTTTCATTAACAGCACAATGAGGAAATGTTAAAATTGCAGGCTTACGGAACTTAACTGCAGGTTGGCAAACGACTACTGGACTCAATAAAGAACTTTGTTTAGTAAGTGATGGATAAATAGATGCATCCCAAGTTACTCCTACAGTAAGTTGTGTATCTTCTGTTAGAGCATCACTTGGAATCACGAGCTTTATTCCCAATACCTGAAGAACGCCTCCTGATTTACCTAAAGTTTTATGCACAAAGATACCTTTTTCAGAATGTCCTTGTTCCTCGTGAAAAATAGACTCGTTTATAAGTACAGAGGTTGGCCTCCCTTCATAAATAGTTTGTCGCCGTGTTGTCTCGGACATAAAAGACTTATCTCCCTGTTTGAGAACAATGTCCATGTCATCGATTCCAACCAGTTGTTTTGATTTTGTTTTATGTTTGTAATTATTCTGAGCAATTGCAACAACTTGAGAATCCAGTTGAACATTTCCGTGGGCATTTGTGATATCTTTTCCAATTTTGATGACCATTGATGGTTTGATTAAATGGTCCCGATGCTGTGGATTGTTCGGTAAAATATTTTCAACGTCCACGTGTATGTCGTCATTGCTTATGTTCTTTTGTCTAAAAGTAACTGTTTCATCCACAATTTCTGAAGATTCTCCTTTGTCAGCTTGAATGCTCGCTTTTAATAATTTTATTTGTTTTTCTAAATCGATTATTCTATGATTATCATAATCTTGCAATTTTTCCAATTGGTCCTGCAGATTGCTTATGCTTGAATGATGTTCACGGAGTTTCCAACACAGGAATGCCCCGAATAAACCAAGGCCTATAACTAGTAGCAGTACAAGAACAGCAATAATTAGACCAGCATCCTATCAAGAAATAAGAATAAAAAACTATAGCTTATTGAGTGGAATAATTTACACAAATATTAACTAAATTATCTGATTTTGCATCACTATATATAACATTTCAGCTCTGATTTAGACACAGATTGACGACTCCAAACTAGAATCTATGACAAACGTGATGATTTCGACTTTCTAACTCTCAACTTCCCATTTCTCAGGAGAACATATCCTCTGCTCCATCGTATGACGTTTACATACAAGTTAATACGGTACGTTCCTGCATATTCATGCTATACAGATTTCCTTAAAATGTGTGTGCTCCTTACACATAAATTGCTTCTACTGAGTTATGAGGCAGAACAACTGAAATCGACACTACATCAGTTTTACCGTCACCATCACGAATTGGTTATCCGATACGAAGTGTCGGTGTCTTAAATCACGGCAAGTACCCTTGGAAAGCTCCTTTTGGCAAAAACTTTCGGAATGTTAGGTCCTCAGTGCTCTTCAACTTCGTAATTTATTTGGCCTTTTGATTTTTTTTTATTCGAGCGTCACTGATGAATCTTTTGTAGACAAAACGCGCGTCTGGCGTTCAGAATTTTAATGCTGGTATCTATGATGAGTTTATTTAAATGCAAAAAAGATATACACAATTCGTGAGTTAGAAAACAAATTTTTTTTTTTTTCTCTCATGTGATCGTTACAAACCGCAAAATATATTTTAGAAATTTTCTATCGCCTTTTCTTTTTGCTATTTACTTAAATGATCTTGATAATTTTATAAAAAGGTGTAATGTTAACGACCTAACATCAATAAGGTCAGAATTTAACGAAAAATTAGAAATCTATATTCATTTATATATTATATATTATTTGCTATTTTATATATATACGCGGACGATACTATTATTATAGCTGAAACCCCCTCTGACTAGCAATATCAGTTAAATGTGTTCTAAAGTTATTGCGAAAAATGGAAACTAAAGGTGAATGTAGACAAAGTCGGAAATATTTGTGATATGACGTATAAATGTAGTGTTTTGTACTTCCTAAATTTGTCATTGAAACACTCTTTTTACCACAGAAAACGCCAATTTTTGAGAAAATATCCAAATTCGGAGACCGTTATCGATCCGTGTCTTATACGCTTTCGCGCATGCTCAGTCGACGTACTGCCCGCGAAATCCAAGTTGAAGTAAGAAGAAGGGATAGTAAATAGGACAGTTAGGCCTATATAAGGATCCTGTATTGTATTGTAAGTGCATCATTTTGCTAAATTAAACGACATCCACCCTTTTTACTCAGGTGCAGAACTATCCAAAAACGAAATTGGCGTTGAACGTGTCGAAGTGATCCTCCCCCAGGCATCCGACGTCTGACCCTCCCCCCTTTTATTGTGTAAACACAGGCATCCGACGTCCGGACCCTCCCCCCTTTTTATGTGTAAATGGAAATGCTCTTTTGTTCCGACGTTGGAAAGTTCCGGGCGGAAAGAACTAGCTAGCCGAAAAGTTCCGGAGGAACTTATTAACTAGTTACTTTGTTCTTCCTTTGGTTTAAAAGTTCCACCGGAACAAAGTGACTAGTTGAAAAGTTCCAACGGAACATATCAACTAGTTAGAAAGTTCCTTTTTGCCAAATTAGTCAAAACCGGAACTAACAAACTAGCTCAAAAGTTACAACGGAACTTATCGACCACGCAGAAAGTTCCATTTGGAGAATTGATGCAAAGTAAAAGCGCAACATATTATATTTGAACCTTTCAGGGAAACCAAGATACTGATTACAAAAGTCAAAAGGAACTTATCAACTAGCCACAAAGTTCCTCTTTGGCAAATAAGTCAAAACCAGAACAAACAAACTAGCCCAAAAGTTCCAACGGAACTTATCAACCAGGCAGAAAGTTCCATTTGGAGAATTGATGCAAAGTAAAAGCGCAACATATTATATTTGAACCTTTCATGGAAACCAAGATACTGATTACAAAAGTCAAAAGGAACTTATCAACTAGCCACAAAGTTCCTCTTTGGCAAATAAGTCAAAACCGGAACTAACAAACTAGCCCAAAAGTTCTAACGGAACTTATCAACCAGTCACAAAGTTCCATTTGGAGAATTGATGCAAAGAACCACATGAGGAGGGGGATATTCTTCCCTCTCTTGAGGGTACTATGAATACTAAATTTGCATGATAATGCAACTTATTTCGTTTTATGTGAGCTATGAAATACAACTTAAATTTTGCATATTTGTCCCCAAAGAAACCCGTTTCAGTGCTTTGGGTATTCTTGTAAATTAATGATTTGCTCTTATATATACTGATACTCATTCTTCCCCCTCTTTCTACAAAAAGGACGAAATATGGTATATTTGGAACGATGTAACTAGTTGTTCTGTTCCGCCAGAACTATTCAACTAGCTACATTGTTCCGGGACTTTTCAACTAGCTACTTTTTTCCGGAACTTTTCGACTGCACTCGGAATAAAACAACTAGTTGGAAAGTTCCATCGGAACGAAATAACTAGTTGAAAAGTTCCGCCGGAACAAAGTTACTGACGGAACATAGTGGCTGTTACATAAACACAGGCACCCTTGACACTCCTTGTTTCAACACTTGCCCAATTGTACCGAGATTTCGCGGGATATCTTCTAGTATGGATAATGTGTAAAGTGGACCTGAAAAAAAGAATTTTATTTAATGAACACAAGTCGGTTTTATATGAAAAAAAAAAAAACAAACAAAATAAACAAAAGCATAAATAGAATCCATCAATGATGAGACACACTATAAATATGTAGAAATAAAATATCACACGGAAAGCGATTATACAATAAACCAAGAGATGAGAGACATTTTGTCTTATCAGTGTTGTTAATAAGTGTTTAATACATGTACTTTTCCTTCCGTTTGAGGTTAGAACTAGATGGTCTCAAGAGCCTGTGTCGCTCACCTGTATCTACTGTGGATTTGGAAATCATGTAAAATAATGTTAAAATAATAATAAATAGTATTAGGTACCCTAATGATAATTGAGGCCAAGTTTGGTTTAATTCGGCCCAGTAGTTAAATTTAAAGCAGGTCATCCCATTGTAGTCTTACAATAGTTACTGAAGACCCCTTATCATTATTTAAATTAGTTTTCAAGTTGTGACCATTTGAAATTGTTTTTTAACAATTTTCCCATAGACTTCTATAGTAAACCCCTATGTTCTATTTTTAGCCAAGGTGGCCATGTTGGTTGGATGACAGGGTCGTCGAATACATTTTTCAATCAAGATACCCTATTGAAAATTGTGGCTTAGTTTAATTCTATGTGGCCCAGTAGATTAAGTGGAGAAGATTTTTGTAAAAGATAAAAAAAAATACGAAAAATTGTGTGAAAAAATGACTTTAAAGGGCAATAACTCCTGATTTTGATCATTTGACTTATTTGTAGAGCTTACTTTGCTGAACATTTTTGCTGTTTACAGTTTATCTCTTACTATCTATTATAATATTCAAGATAATAACCAAAAACTGCAAAATTTCCTTAAAATTACCAATCCGGGGGCAGCAACCCGGCCAACAACGGATTGTCTGATGCGTCTGAAAATTTCAGGGCTAATAGATTTTGACCTGATAAACATTTTTACCTCATGTCCGATTTGCTCTAATTGCTATAGTTTTCAGAGATATAGGCCAAACTGCATTTTACCCCCCCCCCCCCCCCCCCACCTTTTTTTACCCCATGTTCTATTTTTAGCCATAGCGGCAATCTTGGTAAATGGGCGGGGTCATCGGATACATTTTTAAAACTAGATACCCTAAGGATGATTTAGGCCAAGTTTGGTTATAATTGGCCCAGTAGTTTCAGAGGAGAAGATTTTTGTAAAAGTTAACGGACGACGACGGACAACAAACGCCAAGTGATGAGAAAAGCTCATTTGGCCCTTTTGGGCCAGGTGAGCTAAAAATGATTTAGCAATGGTTTTTTTAAAGATCATAGAATGAAATGAGCAATGCAAAACTCCAAACATTGTTTCTGTTTTATGTGGATAATCACTTAAAATCAGAGCGCGTGTTTTACTTAAGATAATATATAACGGTTGTACACCGATGATCAAACAAGGTCTCAATAAAAAAAAAGCGGTTTATATCAAACATGTCCTATTTTTAATGGCACCTATTTGAATGCATCGGATGCATAGCTCGACATTAGTACGCATATATAATACTATTAGCTCGACATTAGTACGCATATATAATACTACCAAACCTGGTATAAACAGACAAACATTGGACAAAAACAGTCAGAATCAGCTCGACATTAGTATGCATATATAATACTACCAAACCTGGTATAAACAGACAAACAATGGGACAAAAACAGTCAGAATCAGCTCGACATTAGTACGCATATATAATACTACCAAACCTGGTATAAACAGACAAACATTGGACAAAAACAGTCAGAATCGCATCAACTCGATCGAAAAGAGACTAAGGTAATAATATATAATTGTGCATGTGTCGGCCGTGAAGCGATTTATAATTTGCTTTTCAAAAGTGAGTGTCAAATCCAGTATATAATAAGCCTGTATTAATGTCAGAAGGGTCAAAATGGACATCTGGTCTATGACAGAGTCCAGTACCTAACAGACTTAAAGCGTATATCAATTTATCTCACGTCTACAAGAAGTTCAAATCCCCACTTAATAAGGTATAAATAAAATGACTTACTGTTGCCATCTTCTCTCGAATCGTTTAAAGTACACAGAATAAGTGTGAACATTTGTAGATTTGTTATTAACTCGTCCCTTTAATTCGTTGTATGTAGGAGGAAGTTTAAGTTTATTGATATAATTGATTGAAATTCAATGAATCGGAAGTGTTAAAGATATATACTAGTAAAAAAGCAAAAATCCATATTAATACACCTATCATTGAGTATCGGTAAAGGTTACTAACTGTGTAGGTTAGATACCAAATAATTTAACTACAATTTATTAAGGCAGTCACGCGAATAGTGGATCAAATTTCATCAGTAGAGCAGTTAAAGTCACTAGTTCAAATACTAAGTAATAACTAATAGGTACATTCATCTTATGTTTCAGTGAAACTTTCAAATTAATAAATGGATAAAAATATTCAGTCAGAAGTTGAATAATTATAAGTAATCAGGCATCATAAATATTAGTCTTTAAACTAAAAAAGAAAAAAAAAGAAACAACTAGCCGAAAGCATGCGCCATCCGACGGACAAACAGGGATTTGTTACCGAGGTTTAAGCATTTATAATTAGGTTAGGGAAAAGGCTATAGCTAAATAACCGTGAGAGCAGTTTAACGGACCAACCATAAGGATTTGAGGACAAACAAGGCAACTCAATATGTCCCACACTATTTGGTTGATAATCCTTTAAAAGTATATTAGCGAAAACATTTTAACGTTGAGTATAACAGCAATGCATTCGAGCAGCCAGTAGTCCAGGGCAAGAAGAAAAAGATCTCAACACCGAGATTCAAGATTCCGGGCAAGAGAACAATAACCCAGCAGCAAATATCTTGGCACAGAAAGCCAATAGTCCAGGACAAGAGGAAAATAACACTGGACTAAGCATCATCTCATCACTGACAGCGAAGATTATATGACACGAGTTCATTTACTAGTATCCAGGAAAAATAGCATCTGAACACAAGAATAAAAGTTTACAAGCACGAGGGCAATAACCAAGGAACAAGTATCAAAACACAGACAGTCCAGGGCCAGAGCATGAGAACAATTACCCAGGAACAAGTATCACAACACAGACAGTCCAGGGCCAGAGCATGAGAACAATTACCCAGGAACAAGTATCACAACACAGACAGTCAAGGGCCAGAGCATGAGGGCAATAACCCAGGAACAAGTATCACAACACAGACAGTCCAGGGCCAGAGCATGAGGGCAATTACCAAGGAACAAATATCACAACACAGACAGTCAAGGGCTAGAGCATGAGGACAATTACCCAGGAACAAGTATCACAACACAGACAGTCAAGGGCCAGAGCATGAGGGCAATAACCCAGGAACAAGTATCACAACACAGACAGTCAAGGGCCAGAGCATGAGGACAATTACCAAGGAACAAGTATCACAACACAGACAGTCAAGGGCCAGAGCATGAGAACAATTACCCAGGAACAAGTATCACAACACAGACAGTCAAGGGCCAGAGCATGAGGGCAATAACCCAGGAACAAGTATCACAACACAGACAGTCCAGGGCCAGAGCATGAGGGCAATTACCAAGGAACAAATATCACAACACAGGCAGTCCAGGGCCAGAGCATGAGGGTAATTACCCAGGAACACGTATCACAACACAGACAGTCCAGGGCCAGAGCATGAGAACAATTACCCAGGAACAAGTATCACAACACAGACAGTCAAGGGCCAGAGCATGAGGGCAATAACCCAGGAACAAGTATCACAACACAGACAGTCCAGGGCCAGAGCATGAGGGCAATTACCAAGGAACAAATATCACAACACAGGCAGTCAAGGGCCAGAGCACGTGGACAATTACCCAGGAACAAGTATCACAACACAGACAGTCAAGGGCCAGAGCATGAGGGCAATAACCCAGGAACAAGTATCACAACACAGACAGTCAAGGGCCAGAGCATGAGAACAATTACCCAGGAACAAGTATCACAACACAGACAGTCAAGGACCAGAGCATGAGGGCAATTACCACGGAACAAGTATCTCACCACAGACAGTCAAGGACCAGAGCATGAGGACAATTACCCAGGCAAAAGTATCACAACACAGACAGTCAAGGGCCAGAGCAAGAGGGCAATAACCCAGGAACAAGTATCACAACACAGACAGTCAAGGCCAGAGCATGAGGGCAATAACCCAGGAACAAGTATCTCACCACAGACAGCCAAGGGCCAGAGCATGAGGGCTATAACCCAGGAACAAGTATCTCACCACAGAGTGTCAAGGGCCTCAGCATGTGGACAATAACCCAGGAACAAGTATCTCACCACAGACAGTCAAGGGCCAGAGCATGAGGGCAATTACCCAGGAACAAGTATCACAACACATACAGTCAAGTGCCAGAGCATGAGGGCAATTACCCAGGAACAAGTATCACAACACAGACAGTCAAGGGCCTGATCATGAGGACAATAACCCAGGAACAAGTATCTCACCACAGACAGCCAATGGCCAGAGCATGAGGACAATTACCAAGGAATAAGTATCTCACCACTTAGAGCCAAGATTGCAGGGAAGGAGGACAATTACCAAGGAACAAGTATCTCACCACAGACGGCCAAGAAGAGTCCAAGGCATGATGAAAATTACCCAGCGACAAGTATCTCAACACAGACAATCAAGTGTCCAGAGCATGAGGACAATTACCAAGGAACAAGTATCTCACCACATAGAATCAAGATTGAAAGGAAGTAGGACGATTACCAAGGAACAAGTACCTCACCACAGACAGCCAAGAGTCAAAAGCATGATGAAAATTACGCATGACCAAGTATCTCAACACAGACAGTCAAGTGTCCAGAGCATGAGAACAATTACCCAGGAACAAGTATCACAACACAGACAGTCAAGGGCCAGAGCATGAGGGCAATAACCCAGGAACAAGTATCACAACACAGACAGTCCAGGGCCAGAGCATGAGAACAATTATCCAGGAACAAGTATCATAACACAGACAGTCAAGGGCCAGAGCATGAGGGCAATAACCCAGGAACAAGTATCACAACACAGACAGTCCAGGGCCAGAGCATGAGGGCAATTACCAAGGAACAAATATCACAACACAGACAGTCAAGGGCCAGAGCACGAGGACAATTACCCAGGAACAAGTATCACAACACAGACAGTCAAGGGCCAGAGCATGAGGGCAATAACCCAGGAACAAGTATCACAACACAGACAGTCAAGGGCCAGAGCATGAGGACAATTACCCAGGAACAAGTATCACAACACAGACAGTCAAGGACCAGAGCATGAGGGCAATTACAACGGAACAAGTATCTCACCACAGACAGTCAAGGACCAGAGCATGAGGACAATTACCCAGGAAAAAGTATCACAACACAGACAGTCAAGGGCCAGAGCAAGAGGGCAATAACCCAGGAACAAGTATCACAACACAGACAGTCAAGGCCAGAGCATGAGGGCAATAACCCAGGAACAAGTATCTCACCACAGACAGCCAAGGGCCAGAGCATGAGGGCTATAACCCAGAAACAAGTATCTCACCACAGAGTGTCAAGGGCCTCAGCATGTGGACAATAACCCAGGAACAAGTATCTCACCACAGACAGTCAAAGGCCAGAGCATGAGGGCAATTACCCAGGAACAAGTATCACAACACATACAGTCAAGTGCCAGAGCATGAGGGCAATTACCCAGGAACAAGTATCACAACACAGACAGTCAAGGGCCTGATCATGAGGACAATAACCCAGGAACAAGTATCTCACCACAGACAGCCAATGGCCAGAGCATGAGGGCTATAACCCAGGAACAAGTATCACAACACAGACAATCAAGTGTCCAGAGCATGAGGACAATTACCAAGGAATAAGTATCTCACCACTTAGAGCCAGGATTGCAGGGAAGGAGGACAATTACCAAGGAACAAGTATCTCACCACAGACGGCCAAGAAGAGTCCAAGGCATGATGAAAATTACCCAGCGACAAGTATCTCAACACAGACAATCAAGTGTCCAGAGCATGAGGACAATTACCAAGTAACAAGTATCTCACCACATAGAGTCAAGATTGAAAGGAAGTAGGACGATTACCAAGGAACAAGTACCTCACCACAGACAGCCAAGAGTCAAAAACATGATGAAAATAACGCATGACCAAGTGTCTCAACACAGACAGTCAAGTGTCCAGAGCATGAGAACAATTACCCAGGAACAAATATCACAACACAGACAGTCAAGGGCCAGAGCATGAGGGCAATTACCCAGGAACAAGTATCACAACACAGACAGTCCAGGGCCAGAGCATGAGAACAATTACCCAGGAACAAGTATCACAACACAGACAGTCAAGGGCCAGAGCATGAGGGCAATAACCCAGGAACAAGTATCACAACACAGACAGTCCAGGGCCAGAGCATGAAGGCAATTACCAAGGAACAAATATCACAACACAGACAGTCAAGGGCCAGAGCATGAGGGCAATTACCACGGAACAAGTATCTCACCACAGACAGTCAAGGACCAGAGCATGAGGACAATTACCCAGGAAAAAGTATCACAACACAGACAGTCAAGGGCCAGAGCAAGAGGGCAATAACCCAGGAACAAGTATCACAACACAGACAGTCAAGGCCAGAGCATGAGGGCAATAACCCAGGAACAGGTATCTCACCAGAGACAGCCAATGGCCAGAGCATGAGGGCTATAACCCAGGAACAAGTATCTCACCACAGACAGCCAAGGGCCAGATCATGAGGGCTATAACCCAGGAACAAGTATCTCACCACAGACAGTCAAGGGCCTCACCATGAGGACAATAACCCAGGAACAAGTATCTCACCACAGACAGTCAAGGGCCAGAGCATGAGGGCAATAACCCAGGAACAAGTATCACAACACATACAGTCAAGTGCCAGAGCATGAGGGCAATTACCCAGGAACAAGTATCACAACACAGACAGTCAAGGGCCTGATCATGAGGACAATAACCCAGGAACAAGTATCACAACACAGACAGTCAAGGGCCAGAGCATGAGGGCAATTACCAAGGAACAAGTATCACAACACAGACAGTCAAGGGCCAGAGCATGAGGACAATTACCCAGGAATAAGTATCTCACCACAGACAGTCAAGGGCCTGAGCATGAGGACAATACTAGTAACCCAGGAACAAGTATCACAACACAGACAGTCAAGGGCCAGATCATGAGGGCAATTACCCAGGAACAAGTATCACAACACAGACAGTCAAGGGCCTGAGCATGAGGGCAATTACCAAGGAACAAGTATCTCACCACAGACAGTCAAGGGCCAAAGCATGATGACAATTACCCAGGAACAAGTATCACAACACAGACAGTCAAGGGCCTGAGCATGAGGGCAATTACCAAGGAACAAGTATCACAACACAGACAGTCAAGGGCCAAAGCATGATGACAATTACCCAGGAACAAGTATCACAACACAGACAGTCAAGGGCCTGAGCATGAGGACAATTACCAAGGAACAAGTATCACAACACAGACAGTCAAGCGCCTGAGCATGAGGACAATTACCAAGGAACAAGTATCTCACCACTTAGAGCCAAGATTGCAGGGAAGGAGGACAATTACCAAGGAACAAGTATCTCACCACAGACGGCAAAGAAGAGTCCAAGGCATGATGAAAATTACCCAGCGACAAGTATCTCAACACAGACAATCAAGTGTCCAGAGCATGAGGACAATTACCAAGGAATAAGTATCTCACCACTTAGAGCCAAGATTGCAGGGAAGGAGGACAATTACCAAGGAACAAGTATCTCACCACAGACGGCCAAGAAGAGTCCAAGGCATGATGAAAATTACCCAGCGACAAGTATCTCAACACAGACAATCAAGTGTCCAGAGCACGAGGACAATTACCAAGGAATAAGTATCTCACCACTTAGAGCCAAGATTGCAGGGAAGGAGGACAATTACCAAGGAACAAGTATCTCACCATAGACGGCCAAGAAGAGTCCAAGGCATGATGAAAATTACCCAGCGACAAGTATCTCAACACAGACAATCAAGTGTCCAGAGCATGAGGACAATTACCAAGGAACAAGTATCTCACCACATAGAGCCAAGATTGAAAGGAAGTAGGACGATTACCAAGGAACAAGTACCTCACCACAGCCAGCCAAGAGTCAAAAGCATGATGAAAATTACGCATGACCAAGTGTCTCAACACAGACAGTCAAGTGTCCAGAGCATGAGGACAATTACCCAGGAAAAACAATTATGGGTATTGCTCATTGTTGAGGGCCTTACCTATAGTAGCTAACTTCTACGTCATTTGGTCTCCGGTGGAGAGTTGTCTCATTGGGAATCAAAAAACATCTTCTTATTTCTATTTCTCACCACAGAGTGCCAAGAGTCTAGACCTAGGGTAGAAGGACAATCAACAAGGAAAAACTAGTATCTCACTGCAAACCTCTAAAGACAAGACAACAAGATCTCTTAACAATAAAAATACATCCCAAGTCCTAAACATTTTCCTTTTTCCTTTTAGTCATAAGTGTAATCAAATAATCACCACTTTACACCAAAAACATTTTTTTCAAATCCATCAGGAACACAGCGCACTCGCCATAAATAGTATTGTCCGTTTCTTTGTAAAAAATATCTTATGAACCATTGAGTACATGGTGGACAATTAAATTGTAACTTAATCTCTTATGATGTGCCTCTTTGTTATCAGGACTTTAAAAAGGGAAAATGGGGTGTAAAAGGACGAGCTATCATATGTATCAAGAAACGCATCTCATAGATACCAGGATTAAAATTTTGTACGCCAGACACGCGTTTCGTCTACAAAAGATTCATCAGTAACGCTCGAAACAAAAAAAGTTTAAAAGGCCAATGTGATAGATATAGTAATAATCAAGGCAAATTTTGGCACTTTGAATTCGAAAATAAATCTTTCAAAAACATACAGATGTTTACAAAACATTAATTTATCAGATATCAGTATCAATATTGTGGCATTCCGTTTAACGTATTTACTTGAAGAATTTAAAATTCTTGCAGTTTACGCAAAATTGCAAAGTCTGACAAAAATAGCCAAAAATGTTGTACTATTACACCGCTGTCCCAGGTTATGGGGAGGGTTGGGCGCCCGCTAACATGTTTAACCCAGCCACATTCTGTATGTGCCTGTCCCAAGTCAGCCAGGAGCCTGTAATTCAGTGGTTGTCGTTTGTTGCTGTATATCATGTTTGTATTTCGTTCATTGTTTTTCACATAAATCAAGCCGTTAGTTTTCTTGTTTGAATTGTTTTACATTTTAAATTTCGGGGCCTTTTATAGCTGACTATGCGGTATGGGTTTTGCTCATTGTTGGAAGCCGTATGGTGATCTATAGTTATTAACTTCTATGTCATTTGGTCTCTTGTGGAGAGTTGTCTCATTGGCAATTATAACACATCTTCTTATTTCTATATCATTTGGATATATTGCCATTAATATTTTGATAGGAACAAAAGATTTATTCAAAATGATATTTTTTTCTACAAGATATCTAATACAAAGATGTCAGTGTGAGTTAAATATCAATTTGGGTAATGCCTGACTTATTCTACCAGAAACGATGTGTAAAATTGACTTTTTATGTCAAATTCGACAATATATAATACATAGGGGACTTTCAAAACTTATAAGTTGCAGAGAAACTGACAACACCATGGCAAACAACGAAATGACGAAGAAAAGACAAAAAAAAAATCCACAAAACACTCATTAGAAAACTAAAGACTGAGTAACACGAACCCTACCAATAACTACGGTGATCACCAGAAAACTAAAGACTGAGTCACACGAACCCAACCAATAATTGCGGGTGATCACTAGAAAACTAAAGACCGAGTAACACGAACCCAACCAATAATTGCGGGTGATCACTAGAAAACTAAAGACTGAGTAACACGAACCCAACCAATAATTGCGGGTGATCACTAGAAAACTAAAGACTGAGTAACACGAACCCAACCAATAACTGCGGGTGATCACTAGAAAACTAAAGACCGAGTAACACGAACCCTACCAATAACTACGGGTGATCACTAGAAAACTAAAGACTGAGTAACACGACCCCTACCAATAACTACGGGTGATCTCTAGAAAACTAAAGACTGGGTAACACGAACCCTACCAATAACTTCGGGTGATCTCGGACGCCTCGGAAGGGTAAGCATATCTTGTCCACTAGTAGCATCCGTCATGTTGCTCATACCCGTGGTCATCTGTAACACAGATATCAAATTACGGTCAACCATCTCGTGATGGCGTCCATAAAACTTTCTTAGTGCTATCAACATGCTTTATGACACCAAAGTGACATCACGCCTGAATTTTCTTAACTGAAGTATTCAGTAAATATCACCATATTCATTTATCAGCAGAATTAACCAAGTTTTAGAAGAATTGAAGAATTTCGATTTTTTTTTCAATTTCAGGGACCAAATAGTGGCTCTCATTATACCTCCCCCTTTAAGCCCCCAAACTGTGGTATACAGTGATATTAGCTTTAAAGTTATTTTATTTACACCATGCCGATATTTACACTAGTTTTGATAAAACATATTCAAAATTAAAGCACTATTCCTATTGCCTCTTTTTAAGTTCCTACAAATATCTATACATATAAATGTTCAATAAATCACAATAAGATATTTGCCAAAGAAGAAACATAAAAAAGCAGATTTTTTGGAACGTTGAAAAATTAGTATGATCTATTATTCCACTCATAAGACTTTGTCTTCTATAGCGGAAACAGCGTCTAATCGTCCCATTTGATGAAGATGAGGTTTCAACTCTTGGAGTCCACGTCCATCACCAATCCATTTTTCAAGAATAATCTCTGTTGGACTTTTGGGACAATTTTGCTGTTCCAACCATCTTATTTGTTCAAACGAGTACCCAATTTTCTCTGCTAAAAGTCTATAGTCCTTTTCTCCTTTTATATCTAATTTAAGAATTAAATCCTTCATAACCTTTCTTTGTGTTCCGGGATGTCTTTTCAATGCTAAGGGTGATACCTGAAAACAAATATACACTACCACTTACACAGGAAATATAGGATTTCTCCGTTGAACAAATTGATTGTCATGGGCTACGGATATTTTGAAAGTACAATTGAGCCTTGTGCTTTATATCTATACTACTATTCCAGGCCCTTTTGTTTTTCTACATAATTAATATTACCAATAATCAACAAGTTCCGGGTCGAACCCGATACCGATACCAATAGTATATGTCTTCTTCTTCTCTTAGTAAATTCCTCCGTTATCGGAGCACCCGTGTCACATGGTATTAAAAGCCCTCAATTTTAATACTACTTGCATGTATTTAAAAATCAAAAATTTAGAACTAAAATACTAAAAAAGAAATGATATATACATTCCTTCATAGAATATTATTGTCATAAAGATATACAGAAATGTAAAAACCGTAATTGAATACTATTAACACCTATTAGTGCAAGTGAATTATTTACATAATGTATATACATATATAGAATTTCGAATTTCGGTTTAATCCCTGACATATGTCACATGTAGTTTATGGTTGTAATAAGAAAACCAGGACGGGTTCAAACAGAAAGATTTTGAAATCAGAGAATACTGTGCACCTTACAATCCGCATGACTTTATCAGATGACAATAAGAATACTCAAAATCCAGGTTATAATTAAGGCGTATGTACTAGTACTTTATTTGCATCACGGACTCGCGATTTCGCGGGTGTGTTCTAGTTACATATTTGTACTCCTTTCCTCTTTTATGACATCACGGAATTTAACATATCACCGGGATGCCATTAGAAACACGACGGATATCAATACGGCAGTTCCGGGATACGGTTTTTAGTTGAATCTGTCATGTGACTTCCATCACCACGTGACAAAAATGTAGGCATCGTCATTTCCAACACATGTTGAGCAAACGGGTGGAAAAGTTTGATTATATACTGCGCAAAATATTTGGGAAATTAAAATCTAATAAGATGGTCACTCTCCCTCAGTCGTACGGGAATCAAGATTACGTACCTACGGAACAAAAATTATGTCTATACTACCCTACAGAATGACGATTCTAAAAGTGCTGGAAATTTTAATAGAGCAGGGATACAGGCGCGCCTTCTATCTGGTAAATGACGTCATAAAGGCGTGCGAAATTGACGATCTTTTCCGGTGAAAGACATGATTCCAGAAATGACGTATAGGGATAGCAGGAAATGATTGCCATTCCGGGATCCCTAATTTTACCCCCGGTTTTTGGTAGGACTCGTGTGGTTCATTGGTTTTTCTGTTTTTCTTTGTAGACTGATGTTTTTTTTCTTTTGATCATGGTGCTTTGTGTCTGTCTTTGACATACGTATTACCCCTTTGTATATTCTTCCTTTATGAAAACAAACATAATCCTTGAAAACTGAATTATTGTTTGTGTTACAATCTTAAAATGATTCCTCCTTGAACTTTTAGCGTTTTTCTTGTACAGAATTTTCTATCAGTTAAGCTGTTTTAAAGTGGTTTGTTGACTCCTTTGTTAACTCATGCATAATAGGAATCACTAGGGTAGATTAGGATATCGTTCGAGGTTAATATCTAGCTATAAAACCAGGTTTAATCCACAATTTTCTAAATAAGGAAATGCTTGTACCAAGTCAGGAATATGACAGTTGTTTTCCATTCGTTTGAGTTTTTGATTTTGTCATTTGTTAATGGACTTTCCGTTTTGAATTTTCCTTGGAGTTCGGTATTTTTGTTATTTTACTTTTTGCAACATAACGTACATACATTATAAAATATTTACCTCTATATATTCATCGGAAACTTTTAAAGTTCTTTCTTTTTCGGATGGATTCTGACTGTATGTAAATTCACAAACAATTTTCCGTTCCGAATGTCCAGACGGATGTATCAGAAATTTACATGAGGGTGATAAAGAGTTCCATACACTTTTAAAATCAATCATCTACAATATACAATTTGAAAAGTGAAGAAGTATTGGTTATCTGGGTGAACATAGGATACTATTAATATATGACTAGCATTAAATGCCAGACAAAAGATCTCTTATAATACATAAATTTTGAAACTGCATGAATGCATGTTACTATTGCACTCAAAGTGGTTTATATATAGGTTTGAACGTTGTTTTCAATTTAGACTTGTTAATATTTTTCGTTTGGGCTTGTATTATTTTTGCCTTCGGGTTTATATGATCCGTTCATCCTATTTCGACCCTTCAAAATCCAAGAGTCTATCCTAAATTGAGGTAAATTATATGGTCTTCCAAATACCGTTTCGATTCATAACATCCCTGAAGAGACATTAATTGTCGAAATCCGGATATGGTGTACTAACTTTTGCACCTTTTGTTTGCGGTATACCATCTTTTCCGCAAGTTTATTGTTTTCTGTTTGGTATTAAATTAATAGTTAAGATCCATTTTGTTACATCTGGTGATCCGTTTATTTGGCAATCGCCAATGGCAGTCAGCAGGGTTTAAGAACATCCGTTGTTCGACCTGCTAGTAAAATGCGTTTTGTTAAAATATACTTTTTCACTTTTTTGGTCTTTTGGAAAATGTTGTTTGTGCTGTATTTAGACCCCTCTACCAAGAAATTTGTCTTGCATGCGCACGTATAAAAATTGCGGTTTTTATCCAACGCAATCTTAGGTTTGAATGTTGTTTTCAATTTAGACTTATATATATATATATATATGCTTCCGCAAATTTGCAGATTTAACATTGTTGTGCTGCTATTTAGAGTATATATATATATATTCTACCACTGCATCGAGTGTGATACGATATTTATCCACTCGAGAGAGTTAAATTTTCAAATTTAAAACGCAAGGCTCGCCGAGCGTTTTAAATATTTAAAATTTTACTGTCGAGAGTAGATAAATATCGTATTACACGAGATTTGGTGGTGGAATCTGTTTCTCTAATGATTTTCAAACAATATGCAGGCAAACTTATTCCGTCTTTTCGAATGATCTGTAAAAAGATGTGTTCTTTCTATGTGACGTCATCAGGCATGGTCGCCTTTTTTCATGCCGTCACAATAGGAAATTCAGAGGAAAGCAAGTAAATTCGACGTCATAATCGGATTTTAACCAATGAAGAACTGAGATCAAACGAACCACACGTTGATTAAATTTTTTTTATACAATGGGTGCAGAAAAGGATAAATTGACGAAGAATTAGAGAACAGAAAGGGATAAATTGACGAAGAATTAGAGAAATATATTTCTCTAATTCTTCGTCAATTTATATTTCTCTAATTCTTCGTCAATTTATCCCTTTCTGTTCTCTAATTCTTCGTCAATTTATCCCTTTCTGCACCCATTGTATAAAAAAAATTTAATCAACGTGTGGTTCGTTTGATCTCAGTTCTTCATTGGTTTAAATCCGATTATGACGTCGAATTTTCTTGCTTTCCTCTGAATTTCCTATTGTGACGGCATGAAAAAAGGCGACCATGTCTGATGACGTCACATAGAAAGAACACATCTTTTTTGCAGATCATTTAAAAATAAGGAATAAGTTTGCCTGCATATTGTTTAAAAATCATTAGAGAAACTGATCCTACCACCAAAGCTCGTGTAATACGATATTTATCCACTCTCGACAGTAAAATTTTAAATATTTAAAACGCTCGGCGAGCCTCGCGTTTTAAATTTGAAAATTTAACTGTCTCGAGTAGATAAATATCGTATCACACTCGATGCAGTGGTAGAATCTATATATATATGTGTGTGTGTGTGTGTGTGTGTTTAAGGATATGCTTTCCTTTTTTTGTCGTATACACTTAAATGTTTGTGATTCTTTTTCTTTGATTTCTAATTTATATTTACTATGACGACTCCCAAGTGAGTTTTTAAGTACTCTATTATAATGTTTTAACCCGTCGGTCATCACTGTAGACGTAGCTAGAAGTTGCACCTAAATATATGCAGCTTTTTACATCTGACCTCTGGATAACAATTGAATAAAATTTAATGTACGATAATGCTACTCTATGAAATTAAAACAGAAAAGCAGCATACCTAAAAATAAAGCAGATACAAACTTTGACATCATTTATTTGAAGGGGTGCATAATTATGTGAGCTTGCTTACTAAACTTTTTTTCAATGTCACAACAGGTAGACTATGTTAGAATGCATTCAAATACTGTATTTGCCAAAACATATCTGAACAATAATGCACTATGTTGGAGTTTAATCACTGTATTGTTTTGAGAGAGATTTATACAGGCCATATGAAATATTTACTATACCTGACACATATTACCGTCGTTTTCCCACCCATTTGATAGCTTTGATAGACTGACTGATATATCTTCACCATTGTCTTGAATAAACAATGGCTGAGGTACATCTGCTTGTTTTTCATTCAGTTCCTTCGATGACTTCAAGATATTCTGAAAACAAGCAAGTATGTATTACAATAACTTCAGCAACAAAAACTATAATTCATATAGATATTAACCAAAGGAATGGGGATTGATAGTAGGTAATGATTATGTATATTTTTATGTAAACCAAACCTCAATCATCTAGTTACATGGCGCAAGGCATACACCCGAACATTGAGCCCTATTCTTAAACAGATGGGAGGGTCAAGTGTGCTAGAGTGCTGTGTTCAATAAAATAGTTGCTGCTTTCGATTGTCCTGTCGCGGGAGTGAAGGCCCAGAAGAGACCTGTTGGAGACCCGCTGAAAATATAATTCCAACCTTGTTGATAAATCAAAAGAATTCAGTTTTAAACTTCTTTAATCTTATCTAATGGGTTAATTTTATATTATCGTAAAACTAAATCTTAACACGAAAGAAAGAGTCGACAGAAAGCTGGTGCTTGCGTCTTATGCACACACGCAATTATAAAGCCGTAGTAAACCATATTGGCAATATATGAATATTATATGTTATCATTCGATTTCTGTTTTATTCGTTGAAAACGTTTTCCAGTTTTGGAAACAGAAGGTTCTTAATATAACACCGGTTTCATCTTAGGGAAGCAAAAACGTAACATTTTGACCATTGACGTGTTGCCCAAATAAGGACAAGAATAAGTTGAGTGTGCACGTAAAAGTACTACTGTATAAGGAAGTATATACAGGGAAATCCTCATTCAAGGTCATCTACCCGCGTTCACAAGTTAGTGTAGTAATCAATATGTCGGTTATCCGTAACACATATAATCCTCCCATGTGGCTATATTTCGTAATGTTTACTTTTTCAAGGAGATATAACTTCTTTATACAGCAAATCCAAATTTGGTAGAATATTATACTTTTTAGTATGAATTCTTATCCAATGTGTCATTATCTAAATAAATTGTAAATACCTGCAATAACACTTTACAAAAGGATCCTGGATTACAAGAAGTTATTTCAGGAAATATTCCTATACGATATAGACATAAACAAAAGGAAGTTTTAATACCAGTGATTAACAGTACCATATGTACACCTTCAAAGGGAAGGTCTTTATACCAGTGATTAACAGTACCATATGTACACCTTCAAAGGGAAGGTCTTTATACCAGTGATTAACAGTACCATTTGTACACCTTCAAAGGGAAGGTCTTTATACCAGTGATTAACAGTACCATATGTATACTATAAAAGGAAGGTTTTATACCAGTGATTAACAGTACCATAAGTATACTATAAATAAAAGGATGTTTTAGTTTGAAAGCTTTTTTTTGACAAAAGTGATTTCCTGTTTTGGGTTCAGTTTGAACAATTAATGAAGAAAATAGCCTACATTTATACAATTGTTCCCTTCAACATATATATATTTGCCCTTTTTAAGATATGCATAATTCTATTTTTCTCTTTTTAACAAATGATGTATCATAACTGTAATTTGTGAAAAAAATATTAAGTCGGATTTGATTATAGAACGAATTTAAAATTCCTTCGTGCCATACCTTTTTATTGGTTTGAATAACATTATAACATTGAGTTGAAATCAGAGTTTCCTTTGATTAAAATTACGATATATACCCCCCCTTCTTTGACGTAAACACCAGATATCATTTTGTATGATGATCGTGCTGAACTTGATCGATAAACGGATACTGATTCCAACACAATCCACCAATTACATGATTCGTGTTGGTTTCTCTTGTAATGTCTACCATGTAGATAAGACGGATACTAGAGAAATAGAAGAAGGCCAGTGGTCAAAACGTCTAAAAATTATTTAATTACTACAACATATACAATATTGTAAAATAAGTTCCTTATTGAAATAAGAACAAGTCATTTTGTCAAAGCATTTTTCGTAGAATTTCATAATTTTCTCTTCCAGTCATAAGTTCATTGTTAGAATACCAATTCAAAAAACAAGAGACACGAAATAATGCATTTAACATATATATTTCTATTGATGTTTTAGTTGCTATAGTTAATAGTCTTGAAAACTTTGGTCTGATATCTTTACTTGGCCTCTCTTATATTTTTTGTAGAAAATGAATTTATTTTCAAATTTTGAATTTGTTATTTAATGAATAAAAGAGAGGCGAAGGATACCAAAGGGACATTCAAACTCATAAGTCGAAAATAAACTGACAACGCCATGGCTAAAAAAGAAAAAGACAAACAGACAAACAACAGTACACAAAACAACATAGAAAACCAAAGACTGAGCAACACGAATCCCACCAAAAACTGGTAAAAAATGATCCTAAGCGAATAATTGAGGTGTTCTACGGAAGCGGATTAGGGACATAGTAATAGGCAACTTTAATCTTGGATTTTAATCTCGAAATTATCAACTTTAATCTTCGAATTACCGACTTTAATCTGGATATCATGTAATATAAATTAAGGGGTGTTGTATGATTGCCAATGAGACAACTATCCAACAGAGACCAAATGACGTAGATATCAGCAACCAGTATACTCCAAGTTTTGTCCTTGAGGTGGAGGGGATTGAAGTCGCCATCCCGGTTTGTTGTTTGTAGACGATGGGTAAAAATTGTGAAATATCTTGATTGACATTTTAGTATACATTTTAGAGTTATTTTTGGTAAAATAAATACCTTTAAAAACATAGTCATGCTGTCTTTCTTATTTGACGATATTTATTTTACCTTCATTTCAGCAGAATCGTCTTCATAATTATTAATGCAATATATTCTAACTGTAAACATTCTACTGATCTGGAATGGAGTGGTAAACGCTAGAAGTTTAACTGCTTTTACGGCTGTCCTTCCTTCCAAACTTTCTCCAATGAGAGTATATAATGTGAAATGGTTCAGATACAGTACTACTTGATATGTTGAAATCTCTGTTTTACACGTTTCATCTGAATCTAATTTCTTCCATTCCGTATTTGTTTCCTGAATATCATTTTCTCTATAATAAACAAACAGTTTCCAGTCTTTTTCGTGACTGACTGCACTGTGAGGAAAAGATAATTTCACCGGTTTGAGAAAATGAATTGATGGTTGACAAACAACCACAGGACTTAACATTGTGCATGATTTTGTCAGTTGTGGGTAGAGCGAAGAGTCCCACGTGATACCCAAAGTGACTTGTGTATTTTCCTCCAGTGCTCCATAAGGTATCTCTAGTCTCACACCTAAAACAGTTAATTCGCCACCTGCTTTTGTTACCAATCTATGAACAAACGCCCCTTGCTGGGGTAAGTTATTATCATCACATGATGTTTGAGGGTTTATAAAGAGTAACGAAGTAGGTCTATCAATAGCATTCTGTCTTTCTAGAATGCACTTTTTCTTCTGTCTGTGATTAATAATATCCATGTCGTCAATACCTACGATGTCAACTGAATTTGTTTTTTCTTTGTAATAACTTTGAGCAATTGCAACAACTTGCGAATCAGGCTGAACATGACCGTACACATTTGCCGTCTCATTGCTTGATATACTTGTATTCGCTTTCTTCCTTATGCTGATTGTGAACTGTGGACCAATAGAGCGCACCCCAAGTCGAAAGTGATGTGCGACATGATCATTTTCATCATATTGTTCCGAACTTCCAGAAGAAGTATTCCGCATGTCAATGGCACTATCATTGTCTTTCCTTCGTTGAGGAATGTCATGTTCATCTTGTGTGATACGATCATCTGTTCTATTATTGTTTTCAATTTGAATTGATTCACCATCAGTTGATTCAGACTTATATCTCTTACTCTTTGTACATAGATATCTATATATCAAAAATACAACCACTCCCACAGAAAGTATTAGTGCAGTTATTGCAATGATTAAAGTAGCTATCAAAACACTTGACTGTGACTGTGACTGAAAAAAAATTAAATCGAATATGAGATGGAAAAATGATATTGTTTTATTATGATATGGTTATATTGTCTTATGTATTATTGAGCTTCTATGACAGTGCCTTGCAGCACCTTTTAGATAGCATAAAAGATTTCCAAGTATATTGTGACAACACAATGACAAGTACATAAAGACACCGCGGTGTATACCGTGACGAAATATGGTACCCGTTCTGTTTTTGACCATTTTGACAATATTCCGAAAGCATACTGAATATTTCAGAGGGAACCAGTATAACCATGACGCCACAGTGACAAAAAGAGACAAAAATAACGGGAACACGGATATGATGATGATGTTGGACTCCCAGTAACAAATATTACATGCAAATCAGGACGATAACATATGGATGTGATATTTATATGATGTGTACTAAACCAACACACTGAGACGTATAGATTATCGAGTATTCTACCATTGATATCGTAAAATATCAGCCGCGAACCACAATGCGAACCTTTTCGGCGAGTTAACGTAGCGAACGAGCAAAAAAGCTTCATGTAGTGCCGAAAGTCTGATATTTTATGATATCAATACGTAGAAAACTAGATAATCTGTTTATCATTCAATTACTGTTCTCCCCCCTCCGTTAGACAGTTTTACGCTTGACGAAAGTAAGCTTGATAACGTCTTCTCACACGTTGTGACGTCGTTGATAATGCTTGCTCACGTCTCAAAGCCGTGATACAATAATTGCGTAGCTACTGTGCAGGGTGATATAGACGAAGGGAAGGGAAAGATTTTTTCCCCTGCTAGTTCACAAGGTGCCAGTATGCATGGAAACTACCCGGATACATTATTCTGACTCCTAGTTAACCGGTTTTTACTCTAACCGCTTAGTAGAAAGGCAGCAAATGTCATTTATTAGTTCATTTTTGAACCAAGGATCTTCCACACTCAAGGCTGTGAACAAGTATAAATTAAGAAGTAATAGAAATGTCAATGATAACAGATGTCACACTCCTAACAAATGACCAAGTTCTACAAAATTAAACCATTTGCATATTAATTCATTAATTAAGAAACACAATATAATAAAATCGGGCTATTATGATACAAAAATGAAAATAATGTACGTTCATTTAGAAGCTTTTCTATCATGCCTACTTATTAGTACAATTCTTATTGTATACTGTTTAACTCTAGACTCATATTTCAAACATATTGTTAACAATAATAATCACAGCCCGACTGCATGGTCCACGTTGAATAGGTGTATGCATAGCCGCATGGGATGTATAAGCTATCGGACCGACAACATAAAATCAGATCAGACTTTAAAAGACATCAATTCCTATCGGAGTGACGATGGACCGGCGACATTAAATCCTATCGGACGACTGAGGACATTAAATAAGGTCGGACTGATTACAATAAATAAATATTCCAATGGTAATACTTTGCGTAGGCTTCATGATGTCTGATACATGCTTTACGTTGTTTTGCAAAATTAGAAAATGAACAACTTTAGGGGAATTTTAAAAGAGTATTATTGCAAGTGTGGAAAACCAAGTAATATAGGAACAAAATTATTTAAAAGATTTTTTTAGCTACACAGGAAGTAGGGCAATGATCCATTTATTTTACCTGGATAATTAAAGAATGTAATATTATAACGATGATAACCAGTATAGCAATTGAAACCTTTTCCTTGTTCGTACAAGAAATATTTTGACACGAGAATACTATGTGTTTTATCTGAAACTATTTGTTTTATCTGGATCTATTATTTATACACACTGTTTACCAACCCTATTTAGTGTTGAGTAATAAATCTTAAAAGAAATTGATTAATTATATGTAAGAAAATATTAGTTTGTTGACGATTTCATTAACTGTTTGATTAAACCAATGAAATCGAAGCTAAAACGCGAAAAAAATCAGAATTTTTTTTTTATGTTCCTTAAACTATAACATAACACTCAAATTTATTCATGAAACAACAAAGGAAAACTATATAAATCAAAAATAAAAATATAATAAGATCTATACCAGATATTTTCAACAGAAAAGAATCAATATAATAAATCAATATCAAGTGACGAACAGACACACAACAAAAACAAAACACAACATAGGAAACCAAAGAGTGAGCAAAAAGAACGCCATCAAAAAAATTGGGGTGAACTCATAAAGTGTCAGACGTTAAAACGTGAGTCAGTCAGAACAAACATATAACAAACTCAGGGCAAATATACAGAACTTAGAAATCGCCGTATCGCCATATCTTTAAAATATTTTTTTATAAGTATCCACTAAGTCCTTGAACACAATGACGATGATTTATGAGCAATTCGAAATATTTGAAAATATTTACACTGCTGATAAAAACCATCATAAAAGATTTAGTACTAGGTGTATTTTACGACCGGGAAAATGTAAATGCACCCACCACATCTAATTCAATTATATAATACACCAAAGAAGCTTATTCAATGTATATTATTCATATATATATATATATATATATATAGGTTACATTAATTCAAGATATTAAAACATATAATTGTAGATGGGAAAATCTGATCTAATGAAGATTATAATGAATTTTTGAAAGTCCTTATTCTATTGAAAGAATTTTTTGAAAAAGTCAAAAAGACGCGACAGAACTGTAGAATAACCAAATACCGTATTAAGTAATCGTTGCCTCCTTAAGAGGGACACCTTAAAGTTTGACATATGATAGTATATTTGATATTACTTCTACTTCATCTAAATCATGAAAACTTTTAAAAAACTAAGAAGAAGCAACTATCACCAAACCATTTAAAGGCGGAATCTACTGAAATTATCCATATATGATACTTGTCTAAGAACATTTTATACTTTTACTGTTTTAAAAATACTAGTCTTTTGTTTCTTGCCAAATATACAATTTTTATTTAGATGCTGCAGAAACGTTTATTTACATTATGAAAGAAATCTTTAAATCGTACTTACATTACCCATGGTGAATTATTAACTAAATGTGATATTTATCTTTCCTGATTTATATTTTTAACCAAAATACTCCGGATATTATTATTAATCACAAAGCAATATTTGCTATCACATGAATTCCATCGTTTTTCCTGAACATAAGGCAGGAAGTGTATCATCAAAATTTCGACAATAATAAATCTTCGGGTCAATGAACATTCTGGTTGAATTTCATTTCTATTCCTTTCCTTTCAAAAAAAATATTTTTTGGGTTTTTTTAGTACATTTACTAGTTTGTAAAGCTATTTTTATATTTAACAATAATACATACGTATTAAATTCACGTTTTTCCCCTCTCATTCAATTGCATCATGTAAAATTAGAACAAAATTTTTTTCTAAGAATTGACAGAATAGTATACTAAACTTTGAGCGCAAATGAGGGTGCATTTTAGGTGCAATGGATTTCTCCCAAATTTATACATTTATTTTTTTTTTTATATTAAAGAGATATCAGTGTCAAGGTTGGAATTTTTCATGTCAAGTTAAGCATGAATAAATTATGCTGTCCTTACAAAGTGCAATCCGAGAATTGATTCTTGTTTCATGGCGACTATTCATTTTCATTATTTTTGGAATACTTTGACATTTGAGGAACCTTAAGTTACAAACGCTAGATTCCAAAAATATTATCTGCTTTATATATAAAAAGCAAGCGCGCTGTACTTATCGTTATGCACTATCTAAGCCTCTGTGTGCACATGTGTAGCATACTCTAAGGAACAATACTCGGAACGGATTACACAATGTACGTAATATGTAGTCTCGGTATGTATAAAAAAGATATGTATACTACCTTTATACGCAGGAAAAAATAGATCGATTCACCCTGATGTTTGGTTTCTGTTTTTTATGCGTTTTCGAAGACGCTAGGACGATTTTTACAGGTGTTAAGCCGAAATAAGTTTTTTTTTCTGGCGGACGTACTGGTCGTCCATCAATACCTGAAATGTAGCTCTGATCAAGCAGACTGTCATCCAAATTGAAACTAAATATTAGAAATATAGTTCTATTTTATAGAAGATTGAATGGTTTATTTGAATACATTTATGGTCACTATAGACAACAACTGACGATATCCCTGAATTTGGACTATTTATTCTCTTGTCAGATGATGATAAAAAACAATTCATCTTATATTCAAAAAATTTTTTGTCAGTTATTACCCCGATGATAACCCCTTACGAACAGCAAACATTATGGAATCAATATTTTCTCGATTTGCACTTCGTGCTGCATCTTTTATAATTGTAACAATGGACAAGGATGTTGCTAGGCTTGTATAAGTGTATCAGTGTCATACTAAATGTTAATTTTTTTGTAGAACGGCTCATAATGTGAACCCAACAGCTAGTTATGCAAAAATTGAAATGAATATGCTCTATTTATGGTCATCCCTCTTTTATGATGATTACATTATTTTTGTATGGACTGATTCTTTAAAAACCTACTAAAAGATATAATTTCCATGATCTTTGCAAGAACATGATATAAAGGACACAGTTTATTCATTTTACACGATCACCAATGACATATTCAGGAAGGGAGTGATTAAGTGTGTACTTCCGGTTCAATTAATTTTTGTTAATATAATAATATTTTTTGATTTCAGGAACCATTATTCGGCACTTGAAGAGTGTCACAATGATTAATTGTTTAAGATTTGGACTGATTTCACTACATGGAGATATCACTATTTTTCTTGAATGCACAATCATGTATACGCAGAATATTTTCCGGTCCGTGCGTCTGTCCGTTCGTGTAAAGTTTTGGTTTGATATAAAAATAGGGAGATGTGGTATGATTGCCATTGAGACAACGACCCACCAAAGTCCAAAAGAGGTGGATGTAAGCAACTATATAGCTCAGCATATGACCTTCAACAATGAGCATCACTTATTATGATAGTCATCTATAAAATGCCCTGAAATGACAATAAATGAATCAATTTAAACTAAAATACCTACGGCCTGATTCATTACAAAACAAAAAACAAAAATAACAGATATGAACCAACGACAACCACTCAATTACAGGCTTATAAAGAATATGGCGGGTTAAACATGTTTGTGGGCGCTAAACTCTCCCTTAACATGAAATAGTGGCGTAACAGCACAACACAAGAACAAACTGTAAAAATAAGTTGTCAATGAATTAACTTAACAGATTGGTGCGAAGCACACAAAAAAAACCTAACTAACATAAAAGCAAAACAAAAGTCCTGATCTAAGAACACTACCAATTACTGAAAAAACACCTCATCAAACAATTACAACTAATAAATAAATCATGTCTTCCTGAACTATAGTATAATCGGAACACATCCAACGGTTTTAGGTTAAGAACGTCATTAATAGACTGGACATATCATGACCTTGTTTCTGATTTATGACAAAACAATGAACGAAAAACAAATATGACCAACAGCAACCAACGATAACCGCTACTTTACAGATTCCTGACTTGGGACAGGGACATAAAAATTGTAGCGGAATTAAACATGTTTGTGAGTGCTCAACCAGCTGGGACAGAGGTGTAACAGAAATCATTTGAAAAGATATATCTATACTTAGTGCAGACTCCGAGATGTACAATATAATGGCTGTTAAAATATACCTTCCACGTAAATCCACATGTATCGTAACCTATGTGCAAACGCTATGTCGATTTCATTGTGTTAAAAATTGCAATTGAAAAAACCCTACAGAAACATGATTCTTATTCTGAGACATAACAAAAAGAATTAATGCATTAGAGCTCGGAAAAATGTACAAAATCGAAATAAAATAAAATTCCGCGAAATTCCATTAATGTTTTTGGCGCATTAACGTCGTTTCAAAACATGACGTCATACGAATGAAAACGTCGGAGCTGAAGGTTTTTCTATTGCGTTAACTCTCCAAATTCGGATAATATTGCATTAAAATGTAATTTTGAGGTAGTTGTTGGTTTTTTTTTCTATTTTGTTGCATTATTCGCACATTCACTGATTTCAGCAAGTCAATATGGCGGCTCCTTAGTTACATAATGTCAACAGTGAATTTAATGGTAGCTTACGAGACAAAAAGGTAAATTTAAAATGGCAAATGTTAGATTTGAGAAATAAAAGAATTAAAAACAATTTTTTCTAGCGATCATTTAAGAAATAAGTCATGCAAGCTACAGATTTATCAGATTTTTTTAGATTTATCTAACAGGGGGTAAAATTGAACAGCCACACACACGGCAAACCCACCCTTGTCTCATTTTTTAAAAGACCGTATTTGTCCTATTAGAATCGAAATAATTCATGGAAGCCATAGATTTGTTGTAAATTTACACATGGCCTGAGCCGTGATATTCGTTCACTTTATCCCTCGCTAACGCTCAGGATAGAATTCGAATATCATGGCCCAGGCCATGTGTAAATTTCCAACAAATCTATGGCTTCGATAAATTATTTTTTAAGCAAAACTCCGATCTAAGCTTTACTTACTTTAAAGCCAATTACAACTTATAGTAGTAAATAAATCATATTCTCTCAGACTTAAGCAAGATAAAAGTGGTCACATCTACTTGAAATTTTGTACACATGTTCTTTATGAAGTGATCTTTTTAAAAATGTGCCAATTAAGATTTTGTGTCCAGATTTCGCTATTTGCCGAACAAGGAAATGTGATAGTTCAAGTTGGGCATTTTGTCCTATGAACACATATATGTGAAGTTTCTGTCTTTTAAAGAAATATAAAATACGCTATACTGTAAATTGGTTGCTGCTTGTAAAAATATCGTCCCTATTCTACATTACATCACAAAAAAATTAATATGTGTGTTTACTAGTAAATCATTTTCGGTGTTTTTAAAATAATTCTAAGGATACTAAAGGCATTAGTTTGATGTGTCTAATTCATATGAAAGGTGATTTGATGTTGATTTAATAGTTTTCTCTTTTTATCAAAGGGAGATAAAATAGACCGAAAACATCGTGATTATCTCCCCTGGGAAAAACAGTAACATACGTTTGAAATTGAATAAAATATCAACGCAATACAAATGAATTTAAACTTATACGATTTTCCATCAGTTTAGTTTTCCGTCTCATTATCAAAATACATATAAACATTAAATTCTTATAAACACAACAATGAATAAAAAGGGGAAACAATCCATGTGTTCTTTATTTATCTCAGTACTCAGTAGTTCTACAGCAAAATCAAAGTTAAATGAACCTTATTTTTTATCTACTTTGAATAATTAATGAATTCGTTTGGATGCTTTTACCATCTTTATTAAAAGATGCTTTATACCATGGTAAATTTTCAACTGAAGATAGTTTATACAAATACTGCAAAAACTTTCATTTGCAAGTTGCTTTATACCATGGTAAATTTTTATCTTATACAGTGTACAAATACTGCAAAAACTATCATTTGCAAACAAAGAACTTGATGCCATATATTAAAACAATAACCTTCTTCATATAACAGTAAACTCTAGAATTCCCCCAATTTTAAAAGTTCATCTGTTTCAATTATATCTTTAAATGTACCAAACAGTGAAACCTATTGCAGCAGTGCCTTTCGACTCCAACGCATGCTGTGTGATCCCAATTATGACCCCTTCAATTATAACTATCCTGATTGCACCTGTGCAAATTCATAAGAAGAATAAGAATAAGAATATTTATTGTTACATTTAAGGGCCCTTGATGGACAGTATGACATTTATACACATAAAAGGATGATATATGTAACAAAAAACTTTTTTAGTTAAAGAGCAACATATATTTCTGCAACTTGTATAAATCATGTACAGTTTATTCCAAGCAGGACCAGACTCATAATATCATTACAATAATCATCGTTATATCATATATTAATTCACGTTTCGTCTAACATCTAAAAATTTAATCATAACATAATTCCCTAGGACAGAAAAATTTTCATTAGTACATAACCAAACAAATTTTGCCTCATTTGAGAGATCTGAAAAAATTATGACAAATAATGTTTATTTCCTTGAAATATATCTCCCTATCGTCATTGTATGCTGAACAACTAGTAAAAAATGTTCATATTCAACCAAATTAGGGGTACATTTCTTCCAAAGCCCCTGATCTCTTACTGTGTATAGAGTTTTATACCGGTCCCTTATATTTGGAGATCATGAGCACTGATTCTGATTTTACATATGGCACTTCTTAATCGAAAATTGTTTAAAGTAGATAAATTTCTTTAGAAAACAAGTTTTTAGTTTGAAATGAGTATCTAATTTACTACTTTTTGTGTTCCAAAATTTTCATATTATAATCTGACTGGAATCAAAGTCAAATCAAATCAAATTATATATTGGCGTAAAATCCAAACATTGGATGGTTATCAAGACATAAATGACATACAAAACAATATTTTGACTATATACAAAATTAAAAGTTAACAAACATTCATATTATTGAAGTATATCATATATTCATACATCTTTTGTTGACGCTTTGTAACTTTGAAAAAAAAAGTACAAACATCTTAATGAGAATGTTACAAAATGTAACAAAACAAATATATATGTAATAAAAATAATCACACATTTGTTGGTGACTGGAGACGGTGTGTAGGTTATAATCATGATACTGTCAGAAACACTTCTCAATTTAATCTGCGAGTCGGCGACGGACATGCAGTGAACTTAATAGATTATTGTTCTCTGGGGTCCAGTGGCAAATATATCATGGTCGATAATAAATTCATTCTTAATCATAACATAAACATAAGAGATAGGCTAAGTGAGCCTACTAGGATGAAGCACGGGAATTTGGACTTCCACTTGACCAATGACGGTATGTTCAATTGTCAAAAATTTGTTTCATGGGGTTTTTGTTTACGTGTAGAGAGCGCAGCACTTTCGCAACACGAGTCATTGAATTTTATCACCAAGCGTAGCCAATGATATGTCCCGTAAGAGGAAGAATCTTGGTAACCCATAATGGGAAATACCTACCGCTAAATCAATGAATTGGAAACATTGGTTTAAAGCCCAAAACAACGTTGTTTTTTTGTAATTTATTGTTTATGTTGTGCTCCATCACCTGATAGAACAGAAACACAATCTTCTCGTTCCATCTCTGACAAATAATGTTCCAAGTCTATCAGTTGATGCCCATCGTCTATCCACTTTTGCAGCAATATTTCAGTAGGACTCTTGTGACCTTTTTGTTCTTCTAGCCATCTTATTTCCTCCGGTTGATAGCCAATTTTCTCTGCTAACATTGTATAATCCTTATCTGATTTGGGATCTAGTTTTAAAATCAAGCTTTTCATCTGTTTTCTATCCTTAGTTAGATTTCTTTTCAGGGCTAAGGATGATCGCTACAACATATAAATCTAAATAAGTATTTGCAAAAAAGCCTTAACAAATTGATACAAAGATAGCAATTAAACACTACTGCCACTCTGCCACGACACTTATTGACAATGTGTACAAGAATAATGAGAGAAAGGTTATTATGTGTGTGGTCGGACAACAACATATAGACATTATGTTGTGCTTAATTAATAACTAAGGAAAAACAAATTCCTGCTTAAAGGAATTTCCATATTGATCATTGCGCACCTATATGGCATCATTGTCGTCAGCAAAATTTTACATGGAAATAACACTTATTTTCATTTTCTGACACTGGGTCGAAATCGCTTCTGGTGACTATAAGCCCCCTAGTGCATGGTCGGCTAATACCACTTAATATATTTCATGAGTCCGAAGCGCATTTCTTGATTTAACTCAAACGCTCAAAGCCAAACAGTTGAAAGCCAAGGATGTATAATTATACCAAAACACGTTAAGAGTTATATGATCAAAAGGAACCCAATATGATAGCCAAATCAATCCTGATTTTGTTGGAATCCTTGGTAGCTTTATAATAATTTCTAAATCTATCAACGGAAAATTCAAAAAGGTATGTCATTATATAAATAACACATAGCTGAGAGGGTGATAGAGCAGATTGCTACCCCGAGAAAACATTGTCAACTGAGGCGAAGCCAAGGTTGACAATGTCTTTTCGAGGGGTAACAATCTGCTCTATCACCCTCTCAGATATGTGTTATTTAATTTATTATACTGAATGTTCTGTTATTACTGTCGACTAAATTTCAAATTCAAAGTAATAAACTATGACGTCTTGTACATAACAACCATCCGTATTTAATAAAGCGCACACTTGATCAAGCGTCTCCGTGAAGGGTAATAGAGTATTTGCCATATGATATTATTCCATTGATTATACCTATTGATAGTTTAATCAATATTTGATTGGTTGAGACTATCCCACGTGTCATTGAACAAATCTTCATATTCCATTCTGAGGATCATATTCCCCTCTGAAATGTCGGGATTACATTGTGCGACGTTACGCGCGGCTAATGTACATAACGTTTTGAAATTCTTATTCTTTTTAAAATAGCGATGGCAAAAATCATTATCATGTTCAAATTTATTTCAGACGATAAAACAAAAAGACTCGTAATTAAATTTTGCTCCGTACTGTTTATCAATGGGTATGTCGTGTTTAGTTTAACTTATAAAAACAAGCGGATAAGAAAACAAAATGTATGCAAAATAATTTTTAATGTATTGATAGCAAACAAAGCATAGGCAGTGGAATAAAACATTCATTTCCCTTTGCCTCGGGAGATATGAAGATTTGCTCACCCTCGAAAAATCATATTTCCCTCGGGCAGAGCCCTCGTGAAATATGAATATTCTTGGGTGAACAAATCTTCATATCTCCCTCAGGCATGGGAAATAAATGTATAGAGTCGTATTTAATAAAGCGCTCACTTGATCAAGAGTCTCCGTGAAGGGTAATAGAGTATTTACCATAAAATAGAGTAAATTAACACCCTCGATTAAGCCAATCAAAATATTGCATTGTTACGTGAAGTATAATAATACAAAATGCCAGTACCGAAGCACTAACTATTGAGTAAACTTATCAAAGATACCAGGATCAAAATTGATTTTTCAATATTTATAACATACTTTGAGGTAAATTAAGAACAGCGCTTCGGACTTATGAAATATAGTAAGTGTTATGAGCTGACCATGCCCTTTGGGGGGAAAGGGGGGAGGGGCTAATCATGTATTTTAACCCTTTACAGAATTTTTCAGGATATTGAATTGATTATTTTTTTTTATATTTGATGATATGTAACGGTGACATTTGCGAATATATGTTTAATATCAGTAACAAGACGATATATTATGAAAAATTGTCATTACAAGGATCAAGTGTGTTTTATATCGTTTATTATAAAGCTTGCTTTCAGAAGTGGGAGGTAATAGTGATGGGGGAGTCCGTCTACAAAGTTCATTCATTCGTTTGTTCGTTCTGTCGTTCATCTTTCCCACGTTTGTATTCGCATCTGCTTCTGAATTGCATGAAAGATTTTTGTGAACTTTTACAGAATCCTACTTATGTTATGAACGTTTGAACCTTATTTCACTTCTTCTTTCGAATGATGTTTTGGGTTTACTTTGACATGACAAGGAATTTGTCATATCCGCACCATTCAGAACACATCATTTTATGGCTTCTCCTCCTAATCTTCATGATATAATGCAATTGTGCACCTATCTATTTATTTAATTTGGAAATAAATTCTTTGGATATCATTTAGAAACTCCATTCCTGAAAGTTTGTACAGTCCATTGTTTTGTAAGCTCACAGTATTCTAGCATGTAAAGATGAGTCTGAAAATGACTTAAAGAAGTATCAGGTACATATTCTGCAGAATGAAGTGTAGTTGTCAAATTTTAGAAAACGAGTTATAAAAGCCACAATTACTTGTGCTTGACAAGGTATACATTGTATGTAATGCTTAGTTCTAACTCTTTGAATGTTTTTTTTCAATTCTTAAATAAGTCCAATATGAAATCTGTATTCAATACTTTGCACGCTTAATATTTATATACGTTTATTTATTTCTCTATAGGGAAATGAATTTTTCATTCCACCACTTTCTTTGACCCAAGGCCATAGAATTTTCATATACATGCAATTTCCCATATCCCCTTGATTTTTTTTAAACTACAAGACAGACATATTATATAAAACATTTGTTACGTATGTCGAATAGAGTATTTAGACACTTGCACCAATTTCAAACAATAATTTTGCTGTGCAAGAAGCTTTGAAGAGATTTTATAAACCGCGCATTAAGTCACCCGAGGTAAACACGATGTTCAGAGGGGAATTTGATGTTTTGTTCAATGTCGCCTGGGATAGTCTCAACCCCAACCAAATAGATATTTGTCTAGCTACATTTATCAATATTTAGTTACCGCGGAATAATTTTGTTGTTGCTAACCATTGTCATGTATTTATTATTTTTTATATTTAATTCATTATGTATATTTCTTATAACAATATTTAATTACTATTTGGGAATGAATACAATACAAAACTTACATCGGTGTATTGATCGGCTATTTTTAACGTTCTTTTCTTTGGTGGAGGTCCTTGATTATTAGGCTGATAATAAGTAAAATCACACACTATTTTCGAAGCTGACATTTCTTTTGGATGAAACAGATATTTGCAGTTTGGAGCTAAACAGTGCCAAATACTCTCAAAATCTATTGTCTGTAAGTAAAAGAATAAAGCGTTATACATAATGCTTGAAGTGATTTTACTATGGACAATGAATGGCTACTTACTCTTGACCTTTTGGATTTATAATTCAAGACAATGATATAACATAAAGTATAACTTTGAGGCAACAGTATTTCAACGATGATCAAAGAAGAAACAAACCAAGGTTAATAACAATACTTGAGGTAATCATACGAACTCCCAAAGGATAAAGACCAGTTGTGTCGACATGTCACGCGAATTCACACTCAGTCAAAATGTCATTATCAGGAATAGGACACGATCTCTTAGGAAACAGATTAGTATTCACAAATGTGATGAATCGTTTCAAAATAAATATTGTTTTTACCAACTAAAGATCCAAGAGGCCCCTCATGGGGGTGTCCAAGTAATCACATAATCACAAATTGTTTGCCAATATAATCACATAATCATTAATTTTTTTTTTAAACAAGATAATCAAATAATCCAAAATTCAGTCCTAGATTATCAAATAATCAAATAATCATAAAATATTTGGTCTGGTAATCAAATAATCACTATAAAAACGGCCAAGTAATCACATAATCAAAAACCCCATGAGGAGGCTCATCCAAGACCGCGAAAACATTTCGCTAGTGAGACACATACATCGTATCGGTCACAGTTGACCAATTTGTGATTTTGACAAGAAATTTATGTACTGTCGATTTCAGTCGTTCTTCCTCAAAAGTCTTTTTGAGCAGTTTTAGTTTCCGGAAAACAAGTTAAGTAATAAATATAAGATAAATTATGAACCTGAACTATAGGTGCAATATCAATTGAGATTTCAGTATACTTTCACCAATTATACGCTACTGCAGTAAAAACATCGCCAAAAACGTACCTGACGGGTAAGTCCGTCATTTTCCCAGCCGTTGGACAGTTTTGCCAGTTCGACAACGACATCTTCACCATTGTCATGTAAGAACAAGGGTTGTGGTGCATCGGCTTCTTTCATATCTTTTGTAGCTTTGATTATATTCTGTCAATGAAAAACATACTTGTATCAAGACATGGTATTTATGATTAGAAAAACAAAAGCGGTATATACGTTTAAACGAGAGCGACCCTACAGCAACAATTAAAGAAAAATTATAGTTTGCTCCTTGAAATGAATATATCATCTCGCTAATTTGCTTTGTATGCAATGTTTTGCGTTATGTTTATTATTTAACTCGATATATAGATATAGATACCGTTAAAATAGTATATTAGTTAAATCTATGGGAAATGACTGGGTGAAGAAATATGGTCATCCCTGGACTTTCCCTGTCCGGTAGTAAAACCATGGACTTTCCCTGTCCGGTAGTAAAACCCTTGCTTAAATTGAGCGTCATTTTGGTTGTGCAAGATGTATAAACACGAATCCATGTTTGGTCGTAATTGGAAACGTGATTGCTGTAAGTTGACTTCTAGATATATTTTGGTTATTTTTATACCTCATATCTATACATGTAGCTCCCAGTGTGGACAGTGCATTAATTTCCCTTATACATCTTCCACATGCTCCATGTACAATGCACAGGGCGATTCTTGGGCCAGAAGGTGTCCATCCCTGTGCTTAAGTATAGGAGTATAAACATGCGCATTCACGCCTACTTAGAATAGAATTTTGTTTATTGATTAAGTGCAGGATTAATTATGTCTTGAGTGAGCTATTTCAACATACAAAGAACTCATAATGTTTGATCACATTTTGAAAAAAGACTGAGATGTTGTTTACCCAGCCCGGAAATTTAGAAGCGATCCGGGTAAACTTATCGATCCTTTAAATAAACTTATTCTAAAAGGTTACCAATTCAAAACTGTAATTATATCTTTGAATATTGCTTTTATTGGTATTAATATTGATTTTGTTATCAGTAACTGTAAATTAAAATCAAACTAAATATTATTTTTTATTTACATAAACATATTCATGGTTCTACAATATGTCGATACCTGTATCTTGGCATTGCACAAGGTCATGTTTTTCTCTGACTGTTTCTAACGTCTTTACACTAAATCCATTGGATGTTGGATGTGTACTGATTGATATTTTAGTCTTAGATGCATGATTTTTTTATTAGTTGCTATTGGATTGAACTAGCTGTCAGTAACTGCGAGTACTCTCAGATCTGTACTTAGTGTCTTTTTGTTGTGTGGATGTATAAGTACCCTGCCACGTCAACTCTGTGTTTTTTGTTACTTGTTTTTATGCTTTGTATCTATATGATGAATTAAGCCCTTTTCGACTGATTTTCATAGTTTGTTCATATGTTGTACTGTTACACCACTGTGCCAGGTTAGGGAAGGGTTGGGCGCTCTCTAACATGTTTAACCCCGCCACATTCTGTATGTGCCTGTCCCAAGTCAGGAGCCTGTAATTCAGTGGTTGTCGTTTGTTGCTGTATATCATATATGTTTTTCGTCCATTATTTTGTACATAAATCATGCCGTTGGTTTTTGCGTTTGAATTGTTTTACGTTTGTCATTTCGGGGCCTTTTATAGCTGACTATGCGGTATAGGCTTTGCTCATTGTTGAAGGTCGTACGGTGACCTATAGTTGTTAATTTCTGTGTCATTTGGTATCTTGTGGAGAGTTGTCTCATTGGCAATCATACCACATCTTCTTATTTTTATGACACTGTTAAAAAAACGTATCAGATAAAACAAACATTATCAATCTTAACATTTAAAGCAAAATCTAAAAACACAGGCGGATACCCAGTTGAAATTAAACAGAAGAAATGAAACTCATTTTTAGAGAAGGTAAAAAAGGCCATGCTTGTACATTTGAATTGTTTACATCTGTTTCTGTGGGCTTTAAAAGTTTAATGAAGGTGCATGATTTAGGATTTTGTTCATATTATATACCTGTGTTTACTTAAATTATAGTATGGAGCTTCGAGATATTTGTAAACTTTTAAATTAAATACAAAATTTCACGAAACAGTCGATTGTGGTAGATACACAATACATGTGGATCTTTGTGCATAAATTCCGCCGAAAAAAATCCACAGAAAGATAAAAGATTGATCTTTGCATCTCTGCCCCCGGCGACAGGTTTTTGGAAAAAAATTCAAAAAATTGGCAATAATTTTATCGAAAAGAGAAAGTCGAGTACACCTTTTTATGTTAAGGTGTGCTGGAGTTGACTATTTTGTCTTGAAAACGAATAAATCAAAAATATTTGATACATCATCTCGTTTCAGATTCTGTTATTTTTATATATTCAGGCTACAGGTTGATATAATAACGTACTAAAAAATGAAATATATGGGTCAAGTGAAATACCTTTCTAATGAGTCATAACAGAATAGGTGTGATTGAATAACAAATTTTTACTAAAAGTACTTGACGTCAGACTGAACAAGTGGATCTTAAAAATGCAAAACTTGTGTTATCTAGGGTTATTAGTCTTCAACCTCTGAACATTTTGAGTCTGCCCTGCCACGAAATATTAGAATTATTTAAAAAGTTTTTGAACTTTCGAAAATTCTCCCTTACAACCTTCTCTGCTGCTTTGTGCTAATTTTAGTAACTAACTAATCTATATGTGCTTTTAATGTGCAAACCATTTTATTTTTGCTTTTGTGCTGTTATCTCACAAGTGCATGTTTCAGTGTGTGTTTAACTTGTAAGATGCTTTTAAGAACTTTTGTGCTGCATGTTTATATACTGATATGAACTCCTGCTTTATATGTTTAATTTATGTGTGCATGATTTGATATGTATGTTTTGTTTTATTTGTTGCTCTGTCGGTTTTAAAAGCTCTTCAGAGCTTATGTTTATACTTGTATTTGCACATACCGACTCTAAATAAAGCTTTATGTCTTATTATGTCTTATGTCTTAGACAATAGTTTTGAGTTAACTAAAGGCATAAAAGTGCACTAACTAATGTCAATAGCTAGTAGATACATTTGTCATTTAAAATACAACTGGTACAAAAGGATCGTAATGGTGCTATCTTGATAAATTTATCGGTTTTCAACAGCTAAATTGACAGCAATGGCTTGCATTTTGGGAGCTACCATTTGATTTTTATGGGGGGGGGGGGGGGCTAGGATGAACAATTTTGTCCTGCATTTTTATTAGTTATCTCTGTCCTGCCTTTTTATTTTTCACTCTATTCGGTCCTGCCTTTTTTTTAAAGTTTATCCTGACTTTTTTTTACCTAAATTGTCATCCTGACTTTTTTTTTTGCAAGTGTCTCATCCTGCCTTTTTTTTATTACTCAAAACTCCTGTCCTGCCTATTTTTTTCAAATTTCATCCTAGCCCCCCCATAAAAATCAAATGGTAGCTCCCTTATACGATTGTAAAAATTAGGTGGCGTAATGGGGAGATAATTTTGACGAAGTAGATTCCTGACTGAACACACGTACTGAATTCTTAATCAATACTAAAAATTTCGATTGTGAATCTACATTATTTTGACTTTTTTATGATTCATGCTACTTTTGTATAATTTTCAATGTAATTATAATGATCTAGTTGGAATGATATAATAATTCGAAGAGATAGCATTAGACATAAATATAACAAGGATGTTTTCTTTATCATTTCTAATCTGACGACAATACTATCAGAAAAAAGGGTAAAATGAAGAAGTCAAACTTATGTAACAAAATTTGAAGTGAATCATATGTTAATGAGATAGAAGAATCGCAACGACGCAAAAACCAAAATATATCTAGAGGTAAACATGCGGCTTTCAATAAAAAGATAAGTGTCAAGCTAAAAAATCTCCAGAGTCTACAAAGTTGTGAAAAAATTTATCAGAATATCAAAAATGCTAAATATGTATTAGATACACCTATGAGGGTGTTAGCCCGATTTGGTGTATCTAATTTGCACCAAGATAGTATTGTCAATGCAGAATGATAGTTCTCAATAAGTAAGGAAGGGGTGGGGGGAGTGGGAGGGGTCTTTCAGTGATTAACCATATGTTATTGAAAAGCATGATAAATACATTTAATTGTATCTTGGTGTAAATTACAAAAAAATCATTCTACTATTATAGCCTTTTTATGAGATCGATACGAGGATATATTACATATGGTGTAGCATTCTTCTTTTTTTCATTGGTTATTACGACCACGTGATTCAAAGAGTATTTATGGATGCTATGTTTCTATCTATATATATATATATATATATATATATATGTTGACGGTCAATATTAAAAACCTTGCAAATGCAACGTAAAATGCGCTATGTTTCTATTTCTATTATTTTATATTGGCGGTCAATATTAAAAATCTTGCAAAACACAACGTAAAATACGCTATGTTTCTAATTATATTATATATTGACGGTCAATATAAAAAATCATGAAAAATACAATGTAAAATGCACAGAAAGAACATTGAAGTCGATTTCCATAATAAACTGTTTAGATATGTAATACATAAATTAAGGACTTTCACTCAGTCAATACGTTATATATGGACCTGTGAAATTATACTGACACTCGTACTTCGTCCTCGGTCAATATAATCTAAACAGGTCCATATATAACGTATTGACCTCGTCAAAAGTCCATAATTGATAAATATCGACTTGAAAGAAGTATGTAGACTGAGAACGAAGTCCGAGGTCCATATGCTTCTTTATTATTGCCAATAAGCCAGAAGTAGAGTACTTATTCATTTGATTGGTTGTTTCGATTGTGTCAGATAGTCTAAAAAAAACGTGCAATATCACTTTTTTAAAATTAACCGTGTAAATATTACTTTTTAAAAAATGACCGTGCAATATCACTTTTCTATCTGCTGTTTTCAGTCTACCTTTGAAAATATAGTTGAACATATGAATATACACAATGATAATATTAAGATATATTTATAGACAACCACTGTTGACCATTGGCATGCACATGAATACGAGGTGAGAATTAAATAGGTGTTAAGATCTAAACCTTCTGCTTTTTGGTCTCGGATCAGTGAAATAATGAAGAGAACACACACGCAAAAGTAAATGAGTTATCACATCTAAGGAAAATTACATGAGTACAAAATGTCGCCAGCGTGCATGTATTGTCAAAATGCCAAATAAAATCATTAGAGGGCCATTAATAATGCATATCTATTACAATTCGTTTCAACTTATTTGTCATGATTCATGAAACACTTTCTTCCCTGGAATCATACAGGGTAGGAATAATTCCTTTAAATGCTTTACAAAGATTCAATACTCAAACTCGTTTGATACATGTCCAGAGTGTTTAACCCCTTTTTATTTTGAACCCTCCGAATAAATCTAATCAAGACTTGGCAGCATGTATTATAAGGCTTTACACATTTTAGTTTTTTTCAACATGGACGCCAACATTGAAATATAATTTTGATCGGCATTTATTTTTGATTTAATAAACGTAATTGCTTTATGCCTATAGGCAAACTTCATTTGAAAAAAAAAGATGCGCTGACTGATGCTGACGTTTCATTCAGTGATATTCGCGTAGATATGGGATGTAAATTACATATTTACCATCATTTCAGGAGAAGACTCGTCAATATAATTATTGATGCAATAGATTCTAACTGTAAACATTTGGTCCATTTGAAAACGAGATGTAAATGCTAGCAATTTTACTGCCTTGACTGCAGTTTTGCCTTCGACGCTCTCTCCAGCAAGTGTGTACAAAGTAAAATGTTTTAGAAAAAGAACCACGTGATGCTCCGTAATTTCAATTTTATGGACGCCATTTTGTTGTATTTCATTCCATGCACTGTCATTGTCATGCAGATTACTTTCATTACAAAGAACTGTTAACTTCCAATGCAACTCATGGTTAATAGCACAATGAGGAAAAGATAAACGTACTGGCTTAGCAAATTTTACTGATGGCTGACAGACAACAACAGGGCTCAGCAAGGATTGTGATTTTGTGAGTTTAGGGTACACAGAAATATCCCATGTAATACCTAGAGTAATTTGAGTATTATTTTTCAATGCTCCATCAGGAATTTCGAGTTTAATTCCCAGAAGTTGAAGATCACCACCAGATTTATTCACCATCTTATGCACAAACACTCCCTGCTCATTTAACTTATTGCTATCTGGAAGGTCATCAAGATCTATCATCATTGAAGTAGGCCGGCCTTCAAATATAGCACTCTGTCTAGTATTTATAATTTCTTTCTGTTCTTTCTGATTAGTAATATCCATATCATCAATTCCAACAAGGTCTGACGAGTTTGTTTTCTCTTGGTAATAACGCTGAGCAATTGCAACAACTTGCGAATCAGGAAGAACATTGCCATATACATTTGTGATTTCTTTCCGAACAAATTTTGCAGTTTCTTTCCTTATTTTGATTGTATACCGTGGGCCTGTGAAACTAGAAAAACTTGAATGGCCGCTAGTAGCCTGAGCATTGTCTGAACTGTCAACAGAACCACCTCGGATTTCTATTGCACTGTCGTGTTCCTGCTCCTTATGTCTCAATTTAGATTCATTCTCAATAGTTAATGCATCTTGTGTGGTATTACCTTGTGATTGTTTTAATTTTTCTACTTGTTCTTCAAGATCATTTAACCTTTGATGGTTCTGATAAATCTTAGAGCAGAGAAATATCAGAAAAATAATAACACCTATACATAGCAGAACCGCTAGAACCGCAATCACAATAGCAGACACGAGTTCAGGGGACTGAAACGGAAAAAAAATAAAAATTAGTACACTGTGCACAACTTCGACACCAGTTATAGAAATGATAACAAATGAAAATAGTTTTGCGAGATGAATATGAATTGTAAAATGTGGAAGTCTCAATCCATTTAGGACGAATCTCAATTTATGATGTATTATAAACGCTATGAACAATTGAGAACAACACTCTTCAATGACATCCGAGACAATTAAAACATAGATTTAAATACGCTACCAGTGAACATCAGATCAAAACATTTATTTTTTTATTACAACAAGCTTGTTTCTTACTTTGTTTTGAACTGATTTACTACCAGACAATCTGTGGTCAATTGATAACGTGCCTTACTACATTTTGGTCTAAATTTGAACTATATATCTTGACTTCACACTTTAGGTCTAAGAGATGATGTAATGATGCATTTTTCATTGGCTCTTTAGGTACTAAATACATTTAAGATATAATCTGTAGAGATATATATCTAAGTACATGTTAACTTTGGCTTTGTAGTATTTACCGTGGTTGTCCTCTCTTCTTTACCGGGCCCTGGTTGGAGCACCTATCAGTCACTCTTGTCTTGTCATTGTAATTTAAACACGAGCAGGTCTTAATTTACGGCTTATTCAATTTATTATGATTTTTACAAATAATTTGATATGGACATATGGTCGCTGAGGTTTTAGTAGCTATCCTTGGTTTCTGCTACTCTTTAGAATCTCTCTTGTCTTATGATGACTGTTGGGACTGCTATACAAGAATTTCATATACGTTCTATTTACTATCATCATTTGTATCGTTTACTGTAGTTGTGTATACTAGTTCTGACTGTCGGCTATGTTCTACTCCCCTAGGGACCCTGTTTACTTTATTTGAGTGTATATATACTACAAGTTATGACTGTAGACTATGTTCAATGCCCCCTGGGGACCCTTTGCTGGACGGTGAAATATTGTGAAATATTCTGAATCTATAGAATGAAAACAACAAAAGTGCCAAATATTTCTTTTTAAAGTCACGCAATAGTTAATGTTAACGCTTTATCGACAGGTATTTTATTTCTATTCACACATTTGTTTTTTGCTCCATTTAAACCCAGTGCATTCGGGAATTTTGAATAATTTAAAGATTTGAACTAAACATTTCATTTTTTAAAAATTTATAAAATGCTAATTATGTTTTTCATGAAAGATGACTTATTTTAAAGGGTAAAAATAAGCACCTGTCTGTTTACATGATTTATTAAATATAAAAGATTGTAAATATTCTTTCAGATATAGTAATATACTGGATATACCACATGTAAAAACTACACAGTTTGGTAAGAAAAGTTTTAAATTTGCAGCTGCTACTCTGTGGAACAGCCTACCTGACCATTTCAGGACTGAAAACAGTTTTTCTCAATTTAAGAGCCTTATACAGTCTTGGAATGGTTCAAAATGTTGTTGTTCTGCTTGTAGATAAGCTTTATCATATTTTAGAAGTTGCTCTAACATGTTATTATGCCTTAAATTTTTGCATGTGTGCTATATTTTATTTGTGCTTAATTTTAGTTGTGCTTAATTTTTAGTTGTGCTTCAGCTTTGGCTTTAGATATGTATTTTAAAAGTGCTTTGCATGTATTTCGATATGACTGTGCTGTTATATATCCTGTCTGCATGTTGTGTGTTTTAATGTTGTGTTTGTGTTACCTTATATTCGGTAAAAAGCTCTTAAGAGCTTATGTTTGTATTGTTATATGTGAACCGAATCAAAATAAAACTTTCGTATTCGTATTCGTAACAGTTTTGTAACTCTTATATGGTCTGATGTGCATTGAACATGATTGTGCATATTCATTATGCTATTTGACGCATGAATGGGCATCCCATCAGTCAGTGATCCGATGTAAACAGTTCGCATAATAGATTTTGGTTTTTGTTGGGTTTTTTTAATGGTCCCTCGAAAATTAATGAAAGAAATAAAGTGATCACAGAAACAAAAAACGACTTGGTTTTCTGGTCTAAAAACAGTATAACAGTTTGCAATATTTTGGTAGTTCTTAGGAGGGGGTTGGGATAGGGGTTTGGGGTTTGGCGGTAGGGGTGTCAATGGCGTGTCTCCCCCCTCATCCCCACCCCCCCAAAAAAAAAGAATAATGAAAAAGTTCATTTATAAAAAGAAAATATTGTTGATATTCATTAATAAAAAGGTCAGAATATGTTTATTGAGTTATTTAACGTTAAATTGTGTATGGTCATCACATGGTAAGACGAAATGAAAGAAGCAAAAAATAACATGTCACTTACCATCTTCTTCTCTGTCTTTAAACATCTAAAGTACACTATACTTGTTATCTTCCACGTCACTCATTTTGATTTTTCATCATCGTAGGTGTAAGAGATGAGGAAGTGTTTATTTTGGAAGGTATTTAACAGATTCCCGCGTGCCTAACCAGGAAGCTATGACTTTTAATTAAAGAAAAGTTATATAAATCATTTAAATCACAACTGAAGAGCACATGACATATGTTTTACGTATACATAGTGTATTTATGTATTGTCATATGAATTAAATAAGATATTATATTATAAATTATGTACCTGTACTGAAGTTGCAACTAGCAATCGCCATTACATCATTTCAGTCCTTTCACATTGATACCCTCAAATGTTTAATACAAAAGTTAAGAATCGTGGAATGATTACCAATGATGGCGATGTTGGATGGCTGTTTGACGTCACGTGACAAATCAAATATATATTCAGGGCGAGAACATGCAAATGTACCCTTCTGTGTTCTAAAGTGACACGTTGAACCGGATTTGCTTTTACTCCTAAATGCCGTGTGTTTGGCGGTAAAGTAGCAAATACCAATTTTCAAGTCTTTGGTTTGACCCGACAAGGGATTGTACTCACGATGTTAAAAAGCTATCCGAGACCATCGAAGCGGTTATGCTTGCCAATAAGAGAGCTATTAACTAAAATACCAAAAAGAACGCGATCTTGAACAATCTACAGGTCCCCGTACAGCACTCAACAAGGAGAAAAACAAAGTAAGCTTGAGCGTCTTTTGCAGACGAAAAGCGTCTAGTAAATAAAGAATGTTAAGGTTAATATAAAAATGAGAAGATGAGGTACGATTGCCAATAAGACAACTATCCACCAAAGTTAAAATACAGTGGTTGTAATCAATTATAGGCAGCCGTATGGCTTTCGGCAATGAGAAAACCCCATACAGTATAGTCAGCTATAAAAGGCCCCGACATGAACGGTCCATTTTAGCTCTTTTAATAAAAAGATGAAAATATTAAATCTTCATTGAATCAGCTTTTATATAAATAAGACACTTCGAACTAATGCTTTTAGTAAACTTAGCCTATATAGATAAACCAATTATATCAATAAACATGTTAATTAAAACAAATCGACTCTAAAAACGGAACCTGAAGAAAGACGAAAACTCATTTTTTTGTAAATGTCATCATTTATATCACTATCTATATGAAAATAAGGAGATGTGGTATTATTGCCAATGAGACAACTTTCTATTAAAGATCAAATAAAGTGGATATAAGCAATTATAGGCAACCGTACGGTCTTCGACAATGAGAAAAAAACCATACAGTCGGCTATAAAAGGCCCCGACATGAAAAATATAAAACAATTCAATTGAGAAAAATAACAGTCTAGTTTATAACAAATACAATTTAGAAAAAACAAATATGAGACATGAACCAACGACAAATACTGAACTACAGGCTCCTGACTTGGGACGGGGTTAAACATGTTTAAAAGCGCCAACCGTCCCCCTAACCTGAGACAGTGGTGTATCATTACAACATATGAACAAAGTATAAAAAAACAGCTGATCTGATCAGATCGATACAAAGCAGAAAAACATCAAACAAAAACACAGACGGGACGTGGCAGAATAATTATACATCCTTCACACAAAAAAAAATCACAGGGCATTTTATTCTCTAAATGTGATCATCGTAGATTCGGGAGGTTTTGGATGATTAGAGATTAACTTTCAGATTGACACTTGTTATAACTATTTGTTGTAACTAATAGTTTAGTAATAAACACAAAATTTCTGCATTTCAAGCATGTTGGTTTTTTGTTATAAATACACCAAACATTCCCTTAGTATCTTGTGCGGAAATCGCGAGTCTACAGTTCAATATACTGAAAATTTTTCGTCCCGCTGGGGCACATCCTCCAGACCCCTTTAGCCTCAATTCCATCAAGGGGGGGGGGGGGGGGGGGGGGCGCTACGGCTGTGTTATCCCTGGCTTTATAATCAGTGTTTTGATCGAGCGTTCCTGATGGAAGTTAGTAAAGAAAGGCTCCTCAGACGCACACAATTAATAAAGTGTTCTTTTCATTTAATGCATTTCCCCTATATGTTCTGTTTTAAGCCATGGTCGTCATATTGGTTTTTTGGAAAAAACAAAAAAAAATACAAACTTTACACTTGATACCGTAAGACAGATTTTGATTTTGTTGAAATTGGCTTGTTGGTTTCAGAAGAGAACATTTTTAAAGATGTGTATTACGAACAAAATATGAAGGCAAATACTCGCATAACACAGGGCCTTGAGGCCAAAAAAGCCGGCTTGTTGACTTATACTTTATATACATATGTAGATACCAAGTGATAGTAAAAGCTCACATGACCAATAGGACATTGAGGACAAACAAAGCTTGGTGACTTTACTTTATATACATTTGTAGATACCAAGTGATGGTAATTATAGCTCACATGACACAAAGGGCCTTGAGGTCAAACAAAGCTTGGTGACTTTACTTTATATACATTTGTAGATACCAAGTGATGGTAATAGCTCACATGACATATAGGGCCTTGAGGTCAAACAAAGCTTGGTGACTTTACTTTATATACATTTGTAGAAACCAAATGATGGTAATTATAGCTCACATGACACATAGGGCCTTGAGGTCAAACAAAGCTTGGTGACTTATACTTTATATAAATTTGTAGATACCAAGTGATGGTAATAGCTCACATGACACATAGGGCCTTGATGTCAAACAAAGCTTGGTGACTTTACTTTATAAACATTTGTAGATACCAAGTGATGGTAATAGCTCACATGACACATAGGGCCTTGAGGACAAACAAAGCTTGGTGACTTATACTTTATATACATTTGTAGATACCAAGTGATGGTTATTATAGCTCACATGACCAATAGGGCCTTGAGGACAAACAAAGCTTGGTGACTTTACTTTATATACATTTGTAGATACCAAGTGATGGTAATTATAGCTCACATGACACATAGGACCTTGATGTCAAACAAAGCTTGGTGACTTTACTTTATATACATTTGTAGATACCAAGTGATGGTAATAGCTCACATGACTAATAGGGCCTTGAGGACAAACAAAGCTTGGTGACTTATACTTTATATACATTCGTAGATGCCAAGTAATGGTAATAGCTCATATGACACATATTGCCAGAACAGTTTAAAGGACTTTGTGACCTATAATTGTTTTATAGTATATTTAAAAAAAAATGAATGATATAATCTACATTTTGGCAAAGTATGAAAACAAATCTTTCATTTAAAGATTGCGCAAAATTCGTGAATATTTGATTTGCAATTTCAATATAATAAAAATGATATACACTTACAAATGCATACAACAAAAAGATGTAGCAGAAAGTCACATAGAAAATAACTTTATTTTTAGTCGAATCTGTTCTGTAGTTAAGGTCTATAGGACACATTGCAGATAACCAGATAAATTTTGGACACCTAAAGAACAATCAATGCAGATACCGTATTAAAAATAAAAAAATAAATCAAAATACAATGTAAACACTTTATAAATTCCGTGCGTCCGAAGCGCTTTTCAGGAACGCCAAAATCTAAACAGTTTAAAGCCAGGGATGTATAAATAGTTACGTAGAAAATTAAGGAGCTTTATATAACTTAAGCAATCTAAAAATTCATTTAAGATCAACTTTGCATGTGAGATTTGGATTTTATTTTTTTAAAATATTACCTACTTTGGTTATACTTTTTTTATATCCTTTTTGGTTTAAAAGCTCTTCTTTTCTTTTTTTTTTAAAAAGCTTTGGATTTTCAAATATTTTGACCTCGAGCATCACTGAAGAGGCATTAATTATCGAATGCGCATCTGGTGCAGAATAATTGGTACCGTTAATGTTTTTACAGAGATAATTCAAGTTTATCTGAAATACCAAAGATTTGATATGCTAAACTAATTCATGTCATAAAATAAAATCCCTACACATAAATTACAAAACCAAAGCAAAGGAACAGGTCTTTTATTGCTGTTCTTCTTAACAAAGTCACAGTGAGGCCTTTATAACAGAGTAAAAGTTGAAACCTCACTGCAAGTTCAAGACACCACAGCAACGGCCTTAGTGGAATTTATAGCCAAATTCCCACATTGCTGCAGCTGTGAATTGAAAACTGGAACAAAATATCTATCATTACAAAAATGAGAAGATGTATTATGATTGCCAATGATACGACTATCCATCAGAGACTAAATAACAAAGATGTACACAACTATATGTCACATTACGACCATCAACAATGAGCAAAACTCTTACCGTATTGTAAGTTATAAAAGGTCCAGACATGACAAAATGTAAAACAGTTCAAACGAGAAAACAAACGTTAAAAAAATGTTACGTTTGGGTAAAATAAGTGCGTTACTGCATAAATAAAGGCAAACATAACCCTTTATAGACAAACCTCATTCGGACAATGTCCAAAACGATTGACTTTGGTAGATCTCAATGCAAATATCATAACTTCAATGTGAGGTATAATTTCAATAACCCTACATATGATATTTTATTTTGTAACATCGAAGAGTATTACCTCAAATACTGTATTGGCTTTCATTATCTGAAATACGATGAAACATGCAACGTTAGTTTTGTATCAGATAATGCATTTAAATAGAACATTTAAACACCATCAAATTAAAAAACAACAGTATAATTATTATATAATTATAAAACGAATTGTTGAAATTGATCTAACAAACCGTAAAAAGATTTCACAGAAAGAATAAGTTCAACTAGAATGAAATATAGATAAAGATCAGCAATGAAAAGTAAGTATGGAAATCACTACTATAGATCAAGATCAGCAATGAAATGTAAGTATGGAAATCGCTACTATAGATAAAGATCAGCAATGAAATGTAAGTATGGAAATCACTACTATAGATAAAGATCAGCAATGAAATGTAAGTATGGAAATCACTACTATAGATAAAGATCAGCAATGAAATGTAAGTATGGAAATCACTACTATAGATAAAGATCAGCAATGAAATGTAAGTATGGAAATCACTACTATAGATAAAGACCAGCAATGAAATGTTAGTATTGAAATCACTACTATAGATAAAAACCAGCAATGAAATGTAAGTATGAAAATCACTACTATAGATAAAGATCAGCAATGAAATGTAAGTATGGAAATCACTACTATAGATAAAGACCAGCAATGAAATGCAAGTATGGAAATCACTACTATAGATAAAGATCAGCAATGAAATGTAAGTATGGAAATCACTACTATAGATAAAGATCAGCAATGAAATATAAGTATGGAAATCTTTACTATAGATAAAGATCAGCAATGAAATGTAAGTATGGAAATCACTACTATAGATAAAGACCAGCAATGAAATGTAAGTATGGAAATCACTACTATAGATAAAGATCAGCAACGAAATGTAAGTATGGAAATCACTACTATAGATAAAGATCAGCAATGAAATGTAAGTATTGAAATCACTACTATAGATAAAAACCAGCAATGAAATGTAAGTATGGAAATCACTACTATAGATAAAGATCAGCAACGAAATGTAAGTATGGAAATCACTACTATAGATAAAGATCAGCAACGAAATGTAAGTATGGAAATCACTACTATAGATAAAGACCAGCAATGAAATGTAAGTATGGAAATCACTACTATAGATAAAGATCAGCAATGAAATGTAAGTATGGAAATCACTACTATAGATAAAGACCAGCAATGAAATATAAGTATGGAAATCACTACTATAGATAAAGATCAGCAATGAAATGTAAGTATGGAAATCACTACTATAGATAAAGACCAGCAACGAAATGTAAGTATGGAAATCTTTACTATAGATAAAGATCAGCAATGAAATGTAAGTATGGAAATCACTACTATAGATAAAGATCAGCAATGAAATGTAAGTATGGAAATCACTACTATAGATAAAGACCAGCAATGAAATGTAAGTATGGAAATCACTACTATAGATAAAGATCAGCAATGAAATGTAAGTATTGAAATCACTACTATAGATAAAGACCAGCAATGAAATGTAAGTATGGAAATCACTACTATAGATAAAGATCAGCAATGAAATGTAAGTATTGAAATCACTACTATAGATAAAAACCAGCAATGAAATGTAAGTATGGAAATCACTACTATAGATAAAGATCAGCAATGAAATGTAAGTATGGAAATCACTACTATAGATAAAGATCAGCAATGAAATATAAGTATGGAAATCTTTACTATAGATAAAGATCAGCAATGAAATGTAAGTATGGAAATCACTACTATAGATAAAGATCAGCAATGAAATGTAAGTATGGAAATCACTACTATAGATAAAGATCAGCAATGAAATATAAGTATGGAAATCTTTACTATAGATAAAGATCAGCAATGAAATGTAAGTATGGAAATCACTACTATAGATAAAGATCAGCAATGAAATATAAGTATGGAAATCACTACTATAGATAAAAATCAGCAATGAAATGTAAGTATGGAAATCACTACGAGGAAACAGTACGTAAAAAATCCACCAAGAAACACTATGAAATAATAATAGAAATGCAGTACTAAAACAGTACCGTAACAAATCAGCAAAGAAACACTTCTGAAATAATACTGTGCTTATTCAGTAGGCTTTGGTCTTTAATATACCTATTGCTAGAATAGTTTACCAAATTGTAGTTTGAAATCATTTCCACAAACTGATCAACTGTTAAAATATTTCAAGTAATTGCTTCAGTGATAGGCTGTTAGTATGAAGTGAGTGCAGTGAAGAAAATTATACTTACCATTCAGCTTCAGTTAATTATTGGCTATGTCATGAAATACAAGTAAAATAGTGACTCAATATAATATGAGGCACTGGTTTAAAAATGTCTAACTTTGACATGAAAACTTCTATCCTAAATAAATTTTATAAATTTTGTTTTCCAACAGGAAGTTATTGCGTAAATGTAATTGATATTTTTTCTATAGTAATTATAATCTGCTAATGATAAGGGAAATAATTTACATTATAATCAGTAAAACTATCAACTTCCTGCATATTGACATTTCATAAGAAATGTGTTCTAACATTATTTCCATGATTATTAAACTATTATCCTCTGTTAAAAGAACACTGAAATCTATTTTTAAGATGATTAAAATTTTGGAAAAAATACTGTTGAAAACATATTATGGGACACATTCATAGTGTATAAATCATACAGATTCCTCTGTAAATTAAGAGGTATCAACAGCGAGCAATTCTGTTTTGACATGAATTATCATTCATATGGTTAAAATTATAAATTAACTGTTTTACAAAAATTTATAGTGTTCAAAATACTAAGGATTTTCTACACCCGTGGTTTAGAATACTTATAAGCAGTATTTGGCAAAACCTTTCGGAACTTTGTTTCCTCAATGCTCTTCAACTTCGTACTTAATTTGGCATTTCAAATTTTTTTATTGGAGCCTCTCTTTTGTAGACAAAACCTGCATCTGGTGTTAAAATCATCAGCCTGGTATCTTTGATTATTTTTTTTAATTTTTTACAATAACTGAATAAAGATTATTTCCCTTTAATGCCAGCAGATCAGGAATTGTTATAGAAAAAGTAAAAAAAAATAAAATTACACAATAACTTCCTGTTAGAAAATAAAGCATTAAATTATTGACTAACCAAACAATAGTAAGAACTAATTATTTATAAAATGTCATTAGGATAGAAGTTTTCATGTCAACGTCAGACCTTTTTAAACCAGCGCCTTATTTTATAGTAGCTGATTATTTTATTTCAATTTCATTACACAGACAACAACTGATAATGGCCGGTATGCTTTAATAATACTTCACTGCACCCACTTCAACCTAACAATCATTCGCTGAAGCATTTAGTTAAAATACTTTAACAGTTGATGAGATAGTCAATATAAGTGGAGGTGAATTCATACTGCAATTTAGTAAACTATTTGAGCCATTGGTATTGTGACAGGCAAAAGCCTTCAGGATAAGCACAGTAATAAAAAAAAGCAATATCGAAACAGACAGTAAAAAATCTGTACTGAAATACCACTGAAAAAGTACTGAAACGGTATTGAATAAACAGTACTAGACATTAATGAAAAAGTACAGAAAAAGTTCATGATACTGAATTCATAAAATAAGTAACTATAAGAATCAGCAGTACTGATTTGACAGGAAGTAAAACATCACAATTTTATCATGTAGTCGTTCAGTACTGATTAACAGGATTGCAGAAAGTACAAATAAAGTGTGAGTACATTCTTGGTAGTGTACATAGAATATGTTCATATTTATAGCAACATATTTCATGCGTGATCCTACACTTAAACTGCTTCTTTGAACACTTTGCTCTAATCTGAGTGTCATCGTAAAAGATCTAGGTTTCAGCACGCCAAGACGTATTACACTAAGTCAATGTAATATGTAATGTATCTAAATAGTATTAGGAGGAAGAATTGCTTGAAAATTTCAACGTTATTTATGCAGGATTTTCTTTGCATTGCAAATATATGTAAATAATTTGAAAATTGAAAGGTTATTTTGTTTTCAAAATACAAATAATTTAAAAGAAAAGATACAAGCAAACGAACAAACACTCTATTAGTAATATTAATGATAAAAATACTGTAAGGATGGCATATATGGTAATCCTTGGCTATGAAATGTTATATATATGGTTTGGCGGTACGCAATGAACGGCATGAAGAATATTAGTACACCTCAACATTTACCCATTTCAATTTTTAGATTTTTTTGTAGGGTTTTGTACTAAGTCAGGAAAATGGCCATTATTATATTATAGTTCGTTTCTGTGTGTGTTACATTTTAATGTTGTGTTTTTGTTGTGTCGTTGTTCTCCTCTTATATTTGATGCGTTTCCCTCAGTTTTAGTTTGTAACCCGGATTTGTTTTTATCTCTATCGATTTATGAGTTTCGAACAGCGGTATACTACTGTTGCCTTTATTTGTATTAGCAAAGGCATACATTTCATTATTTATTATCGTATGTTTATACCAGTTACTGTTAATTTTTAACTATTTCATTTATGTATAAACGACACTACAAGATATATGTTTAAACGAGCTCTTTAGTATGTTATACATATCGATCTTTTACTTTTGTATACCTGCATTTTTTAATACGAAGTGAGGATTTTTTTCTCATGAAAACACTCCAGATATTTGGTTTAAATTGTGCCATTTTCGGGGAAAAAATAGACTATCATCTTACAATTGATAATATATCAGGTTGTCCTTATCAGTCTGACCCATTTAAGTACGAATGATTCCTTTGATAGATACACATAGCATTGGAATTTAGTAGAATATGGTACTGTCAACTGTAGAAGTATTGCTCATTTCAGCTGGTATATTAACAGTAGTGTTAGGATTAAACGACAAGAAACGGCTTCTCCTGAATGACGGAGATGTTATCCAGAACAGACTTAACCAAATGGACTTAAAACTACAGAAATTAGAAATATTGTTAAACCAACAATCAGCTTTGATATCAGGTGGAGTAGATACTTAACTTTCACATGTCGTTTTGATAGTATTAATTGCTAACCTTTCCGGAGAACATAGCTTTAACGTTGGTTTGTCGAGGGGATCATGTTACTAAATCTTTAGTTTTCTTACAATGCATGCATTTTTTTTTTCGCTTTCTTATCTGGCCAAGGTATGTTTATTGTCCGTATCTTTTAAATTCTGATGTTTGATTGTTCCGTTAGTTTCTTCATATATTTTAAATGACATTTTCGAATTAAATGCTTATGTAAATTCGACAAATCACCGCGGAAAGTTATACATATCTACTAGTATCATCTTTCCCTCCAAAATATAACCAAGGCTTAACTACAGATCATATTGAAATGTTTTAAATATCAGAAAAAAATCATTATATTGAGTACAATAAGACATACTAATGAACACTGCTTGCTTATCTTATTTCAGATGGAAGATCAACCTACATCAGATGGGGAAAGCATTCTTGTAATACTAATGCCACACTCATTTATTCAGGTATATTAAAAGATCTTTGTGCATTATATGATTTGAAAACGGTTTAAGTGTTAGCTACTTTAAATTAAATCAAAATTAACCACCTTAATTTAGATCACCAACTGTCATAAAATTTTATATAGCTGATACATAAAGATAAGAACTAAAGAGTTCGATGTTTTTATAAATTGGTAACCTTAAAGTACTATTACAACATACATTGAAATGAATCTATTCCATATTTTAGTAAAATTAATATTTGAAGGTTGCTACAAATAACAGAGGATTGATATTCTATAGTGTACAGATTTTGGAAAATATTCATGGTGAAAGTACAAAAAAGTAATGTTCGCTTATTATAAATTAAGGGCTGAGTTTTGCATGATATTAATAGTTTTACACTTGATAATATTTTTCTTCTCTCAATTTTATGACTCGAATAATTTTGAAACTCTATATCACATTAAGCCAACCCCCTACCCTTGCAAAAATCTCACCTTAATTAAATAGTGATTTGATAATTGTAGCAACAATTTCTAGTTCACAGCATTCCACAATTAGGCATTCATACGTGCGATTATAAGTTACTCATCGTTATATATGCAGTTACCAAGAATAATATTTTCAACTTATAAATGCAATTAAAACAAAAAGTAGAAAAAGACGATACCCCCGTAGTAAGCTTGAATATAGTGCAGCAAACTTTAGTTTAAATAAAGGCAACAGTAGTATACCGGTGTTTTAAAGTCATAAATCGATTGAGAGAAAACAAATCCGGGTTACAAACCAAAACCTTAAGTAACATTCAATATATACATAAAAAGATGCGACATGATTGCAGACGAGACTAATAGGTGAACAGTTACATGTAACTGTAGGGCCTTCGATAGTGAGAAAAACCCATACCGTATAGTAAGCAATGAATGTTCCCAGTACTATAAAATTTTTGTTCGGGTTTATTTTGTTTAATCAGCTCTACAGCGTTTCTTTTCAAATATTTTGGTCTCGGTCATTCCTGAAGAGATATTTTAAAATTGTCGAAATGCGCTGAGGTTGCATAACCGTTAATTTGATTACAAGAGGAAACAAATATGAATGCTGCTAATGTTCAAAGGTGTATATTGTAAGTGCCATATTAGTTAACAACTGTTTTAGTGTATATTGGACCGATGTAAAAACACTAACTGAAAATTCTATTTATCACATGAAAACTCATTATAAATGTATTTTTACTTTATTATGTAATGACAAAGTTAAACTTCTGGACTATCGATTCTTAGTGGAAAATTTTAAGAAAACCTTGTATATCTACAATGACTGATTAAAAGTACTAGAAAAATGTTGGAGAATTTAGCTAGACAAACCATGAACACGTCATACTAGATTTCATTCGAGAAGATTGGAAGAAAACCAAGTTCCTGACAATATGCACAATCTTAGAATATCTACAAACAATCCCCACAAGATAAAACTACAGCAGTTTAACGATGTCAGGAATATGACAGTTGTTTTCCATTCGTTTGATGTGTTTGAACTTTTGAGTTTGCCATTTGATAAGGGACTTTCCGTTTTGAACTTTCCTTGGAGTTCGGTATTTTTCTTATTTTTCTTTTCACATCTCTGAAATTGATTAGGAAGAGCGAATCAAGGTAACAAGCAAAAACTGTGTTAATTGCATGAACTCCAAAAGGTAAGCGTCTCCTGCTATGCATGCATCCCCCATTATGCCAATTCACATTTAGTCAAAATCAGGAATAGTATACAATCGGAAAAAAGATCCAGCTTAAAATATGTAGGATGAGTTAGCCGGATTAACTCTGCATGCATTAATTCAACAGCCCGTCATTAATGTGGTATATTTAAAAAAATCAATTCATAATAATATGCACACCCTTATTATATGTTACAACAATACGTTTGATATAAATGGTCTAGCTTGAAATCTGTTGGAGAAAACATGTACATGTACATGATTTCATCACAAAATGACAGAGTTCAACATTTGGTCCATTGTAGAAAATTAAAGACAATCAAAATACTGATAATAATCACAACATTAGTATGTTTACTAACCCTACTGATACAAAAGTTCTAGTTTGTAAACTGTAGTAAATAATCAAATTGAAGCCGAAAAAACCATATCATAGTACCTTATACTGGCAAGACAGAAAGACGGACAAGAATTATACCCCTCTAAGTTACGAGAGCGTAATAAGAAAATAAAATCTTTTGATGAAACCAGTGATATCTAACATTTCCTTATGTAGGTCAACTTGCAGGCACATCTCATGAATCGACAGGTGGTGCTGCAAATCCTCTGTGTATGGTTCATGACGTCATTTGGGGCAACCATCAAAGTGAAGGCAATATGGCAGAAATTCATGGTGGAGAATATCAGGATTCATTCTGGGGCCCTAATACTGGCGATAAAGACGTGCCATGCGCTGTTTGCAAGCCTCATGGTCATTCAACAGTTCTTATGATTCCTGGAAGAAACAAATGCCTTCCCGGCTGGACGGAAGAGTACCATGGATATTTGTCGGCAAATCTCGTGTCACATCCCCACACCTCACATTATATTTGCGTCGACGAAAACGTGGAATTTCTCGATGGAGGAACAGAAAGCAAAAATGGTTATCTGCTATATGGTGTACGATCCCATTGTGGTAGTTTGAAATGTCCACCATACATCAACGGGAAGCCGATAACATGTGTTCTTTGTTCTCAATAAAGAAATGAAAATTTTAAACTAAGTCCTTTAACATCCAGCTGGGGAAGTAATCGAATTGTAATTGAAAAAATGACCAAGAATGCAGAATGTAGACATACCCTCAAAGAGAGGCAGAAGACAAACTGACAACGCCATGGCAAAAAACGAAAAACGCCCAAAAAGACAAACAACAGTCTACAAAACAATACACAGAAAACTACAGTATCAATCTATAAACACACGCTTTCTGGAATGCTTAACTAGACAATTCAAAACAATGGAAACTAAGTTTTTTGAACTGAAATTAAAAACGAGAAAGAAATTGATTATTGAACCACTAGCTTATAAATTTCTGCTTTATTAGTTCTGAACTCTACACTACCCATGAACAGTAGTTTTAAAGTAATTAAAATATTACGACACTGTGAAAACCAACCAATTTAAGTAGAGACTTGTACATTTGATAATAGGCACCCAACTATATTATGGAATATTTATATGTATGCCATTTCGTACCTCATGGAAGATTTATATGTATGCCATTTCGTACCTCATGGAAGATTTAAATGTATGCCATTTCGTACCTTAATAAAGATTTATCAGTTCTTATGCAACATTTTTATTCATGGCTCCCTTCTTAAGTGCATATCAGCTTGTGTCCATTTTCACTGCATTTCCTGGCAAAAACAACTGTTAATAAAGATCATTATTCCTTTGTTGGTTAATTAACCTAATATTTTTGGAGTTGAAAAATTAATTAAGGATAAACCCTGCAAAAAAGTGTCAGATGAGCCTGCCTGCCAACCAACATGGCCACCATGACTTAAAATAGAACATAGGGGTATTAGTGAAAGTGCACTGTGTTAACCTTACAAGTTTGGAGAATATTCATTTTGTTTTGACTCATAGTGATAATTAGTGTGTTAGTTTAGCTATGTTTATATATATTCATTGTGCATTGAAGGATTTGTGCAAGTGTTATTGTGTTCTTGTGGTTAATTGCACATTCACAAGGTGATACTACAAATTGGTGAACATTGTAAATAGATGTTGTACATATGTGTTTATTGTGTTCAATAGTTTTGTGTGATAATTACCCGATGCATGTTGCATAGTAATCTGTTGGTTGGTGACATGGTGAATAATTAGACCTGATACATGTTGCATAGTGACATTGTGTATATATATTCTGTCATGATACATTGTGTTTATACATTGTGAATTAGGTACTTCACCTTGCATTTTGATTTATGTGCATTGTGTTGTGTATATATTTTGCATTTTGTATTCATTTAAGGGTGTGTTAATTGATTTAAATAGGACTACTTGTTGTGGTACAATTTTGAGGTTAGCACTTGAAATCTTGATTTGTTCAGGTACGGATCCTTTGATCGCCCGTTACACGTTACAATAGTTTAAAATACCAAATCTTATATGCAAGCAAATGAAGTTATATGACTTATGTGTAAATCACTACATAAATGAAAAGAGCATTCCATATTATTTTATCTCTGTAATATTCATGCATAATATTTTCACAAAATGATTTTTATTTTAGTCAATTAAATAAAATACAGTTAATGAATGAGCTTTTCTTCTGTTCTTGAGACACATATCATGTTTTATTGCCTGCCATCATCTTAACAAATTCTGAAAAATAGGAAATAATAATTGATTAATAAAATTTGGTAAAGATTGTGTTTCATCCTGCACTTCACCAGTTTATTACACATAAAGTATACAGATATAGCTATGGGATATTCGCATACTTTACTTGTATCATATATTATCCTGCCTTTATAATTTAGCGAACGGCCATGTTTGTGTCATTATCTCAAATTATCCAGATGCAGTAACACCTTCTGAATATGTTTTGTAGTCATGGATTTAAAATGAATCTTAATTGCGTCTATTTTGCTGTCATCAAATTAATACCTTATCACTGCTTTTGTATGGTAATATGAATTTCTGTACTATCTTGTCTTTTTCTGGATTATTTGCCAAAAGCTGAACTTTTTGCTGATAAATGATAACACTTCTATGTAAATGAGAATAATGACACCCTGTACACAGTTTTCAGCAGATGGTGAGATATACATAGAGAATATCATATAGCTTTTTCAATATCACATTCGTACGAAAGCCCAGAAGGATCATGCGAGATCCGATATTTAAAATTCGAGATTCAATATCTGAAGTTCGAAATTCGGAATTCGAGATTCGAGATTCAATATCTTTATTTCGAGATTCGTATGATCCTTCTGGGCTTTCGTACATTCGTACCCAACCTGAAACCACAATTTAATCATATTATTGGTTGAGGGTTGATACGGTATGTGATATTGAAAAAACCTTGATCTTTATAGATACATGTTACACAATGATCTTTATAGATATATGTTACACAATGATCTTTATAGATACATGTTACACAATGATCTTTATAGATACATGTTACACAATGATCTTTATAGATATATGTTACACAATGATCGTTATAGATACATGTTACACAATGATCTTTATAGATATATGTTACACAATGATCTTTATAATTATATGTTACACAATGATCTTTATAGATATATGTTACACAATGATCTTTATAATTATATGTTACACAATGATCTTTATATATATATGTTACACAATGATCTTTATAGATATATGTTACACAATGATCTTTATAGATGTATGTTACACAATGATCTTTATTTAGATATTGTGTAATAATTAGAATATTGCTATTTTTTTTTAGAAATGTCAAAAAACGTTATATTCATGAAGAAATATTAAAAAAATACATATAAACCAAGACAAAGGTAAAAACATTATATACATTGAATATTAATTAAAAAGGTTCAACTAAACTACATTGTGGGTGCATAAAGCGTTTTATGGGTATTCATTTTTATCTTTTATATATCTGCATTCGTTGTCGAGTGGTATCGTGCACGGACTGAATAATTGTTAGTGCAGGAAACACTCGCAAGTTCAATCCTTACATGTGACATTCGTTGTCGAGTGGTATCCTTCACGGACTGAATAGTATGATAAAAATTGAAGGAAATATTCGCAAGTTCAATCCTTACAAGTGACTTTCGTGGTCTAGTGGTATTATGCACGGACTGAATAATTATTATTGAAGGAAACATTCGCAAAAATTCATTCCTTACATGTGGCATTCGTTGTCGAGTGGTATCGTTCACGGACTGAATAGTTTAAAAATAATGAGATGTGGTATGCTTTCCAATGGAACAACCATCTACCAATGTTCATATGAATTTGAAGTTGGCAATTATAGGCTATCGTACAGGCTTCAAGAATGAAAAAAACTCATATCGTATAGTCGGCTATAAAATGCCCCGAAATAAAAAATGTGAAACAATTCAACTGAGAAAACTAACGGCCTTATTTATAACAAAACAATCTACGAATCAACCACAACCACTGAGCTACAGGCTCCTGACTTTGGATAGGCACATACATAATGTGGCGGAGTAAACATGTTTGTAAGCGCTCAACCCTCCTATAACCTGGGACAGTGGTGTTACAACACAACATTAGAATAAACTAAAAATCAGTTGCAATGGGCTTAATTCAAAAGATCGATATGAGGCACACACATGTCTAACATTAAAACAATAGACACAAAGCACCGAAAAAAGAGTACTCGCAGTTACTGAAAGCTAGTTCAAAGTCAATTACAACTAATAAATAAATCATGTTCTTCCAGACTAAGTATCAGTAGTTACACATCCAACGGATTTAGTGTTAAACGTCATTAACAGTCTGGGAAACGCATGACCTAGTGCAATGCCAAAATATAAGTAAACAGGATCGATAAGATGTAGGATAACTAATTATCATAACTGTACATATAAAAGCTTTGGAGTGCTTCGCTGTATCATACTTTAAAGTGAGATGTAGTCTATGTGATTGTTTAAGTATAGAAAACTTCGTGCATATACTCATAAATGTGATATTATAAACCCGTCATAGATTGGAACTTTAGTTTGTCCACGAACACTTCATACAATAAACCAATTCCCACAAAATAAAAAATAAAAAAATAAACGGAACATCAGGATTGATAGAAGGAAGTTTCCTCTTGATTGTAAAATTCTTTGGTGGCGTTTATGATTTGTCATTCCACAGTTATGGGAAATTTTACGGATGCCATGCACAAGATCTAGTATAATTGGATCAGTTTAACATATTTTACTTATTTTTTGGTATTGGTGAATCTAGACTCGCTTTGGAATTCTAAATTTAATGGTTAATCGTTCGAGTTGTGGGACTTTTAACATTCATTTTTTTACGAAATATTTATTTTCATATGGATACATTTCATATACATTTTCCTACACAGCCATTTTACTAAATTGTTATTATATGCTTCTTAAGTATTCCAGATAATTCTCACGACAATTCTAATGCACAATTCGGGGATATCATGTACTGTTAGCGTAACTGGTTTTTTCAAATATCATTTTGGTTTTATAACATGGAATGCATGCATTCTGACAAAATTCTTGAAGATCATTTGCAGTAATGATTATTGATAAGTGTTGTTGTATTAGATGATCACTCACAAAATTGTTCATCTTTGCCCTTCCTCCTATTTATCAATATGAACTTGACTCGACGTTGCATAAGCAAGGTAAACCAGTATGGGCAAAATTATTCATTGATCGGGTATCGGATTGGATCGTGAATGTTCCAGCACAGCTACGAAAATTAAATAAACTTCTATATACCCTTGATACTTGTCTCGGGTAAAATGCGGAATGACTTTAACTTTCTTTTCATTGCAACAAACGTTAAATTTTTTTTTATAATTTTAAAATAAACTATATCGTTCAGTTCAATACATGTCGAACTAATAAAATTCACAGGCAATTATTCAGGTTACTATGGCGCCAATATTTTTTGAGATATTTTTTACATTACCCTGTTAATGATCTTTCTTGATAATATTCTAGAACAGTAAAGATAATGATATAACGTATTGATGTTCAGTGTAGAAAACACATTCATATGGATTAGTTAAATACCTTCGTAATTGATTTCCCCATCCCCATCCAAATCAGCCTCTCGTATCATCTCGTCCACTTCCTCGTCTGACAATTTTTCTCCCAAATTTGTCATAACATGGCGGAGTTCTGCTGCAGTTATCGATCCATTACCATCTTTGTCAAATACTTTAAAAGCCTCTCTTATTTCTTCCTCTGAATCAGTATCCTGCATTTTCTTTGCCATCATGGTTAAAAACTCTGGGAAATCTATTGTTCCGTTTCCTATAACATGAATTAATGGTATATAATTGATTGATTAATTGATTGATTGATTTTTGGTTGCTTAACATCCAGCGGCACTGATTAATTGAATATTTCATACAAAAGGCATTATTATTTCTACCTTTTTGATACTTGTATAAGTACAGAATATACATATCCGGTCTCGGTAGCACGAGACTCTTCGGGATTTTTTCTTTTATTCATGTTCTACTTCATGCCAATTTACACTTATATACCCAAAAACGTTATTGAGAACTGAAGTTTATTTATTTATATATCCACTGAATACATATACCATCCAAATATTAATATTAGGATGTACACTCAATTTCATCTCGGCGGTTACAACACAAGCGGAAACCCAATTGAAATTAAACAAAAGAAATGGAACTCTTTGTAAGAGAAGGTAAAAAAGGCCAAGTTAGTAAATTTGAATTGTTTACATCTGTTTCTATGGGCTTTAAAAGTTTAATGAATGTGCATGATTTAGGATTGTATGCATCTTGTATATGTGTTTTTACTTCAATTGTGGTATGGAGCTTCGAGATATTTAATCTCTTTTAAACTCTTTTTAAACTTTTAAACTATAGACAAATTTTCACAAAACAGTCGATTGTAGTAGGTGCAAATACATGTGGATTTTATGTGTGCATATTTTTATCATAAATTCCGCCGAAAAAAATTCCAAAGAAAGATAATAGATTGATCGTTTTAAAGCATTAATTTGCATCTCTCTTGATAGAAAAAAAAAACAATTAACACGTTCACGGAAAAAATATGAAAATTTTCCGGAAACAATACTCAAAAATAATTGCTAGATGATATATATATATCGATAGTAAATTGTTAAATAAATAAGTCTCACTGATATATACTTGTTTATTTCATTGCTGATAATGTTATAATTTAGCTGTAATTAAAACTAATGTTAATTTAGTATAATGCTGCTTACCAGAAAACAACCCTGGATTTCTGGTATTAACAAACAGGGACTCTTCACCGGAATGCTGGACTAGTGAAGAACATTGTTAACAGCAGAAGTGCAATTTGTTGTTGAATAAAAAAAAAAAAATTGCATCTCTGCCCCCGGCGACATTTGTTTGGAAAAAAATTTCATCGAAAAGATAAAGTCGAGTACATCTTTTTATGTTCAGGCGTGTTTGAGTTGACTATTTCGTCTTGAAAACGTTTAAAAGTAAAATATTTGATACATCATCTCGGTTCAGATTCTATTTTTTTTCATATATTAAGGCTAAAGGTTGATATAATAAAGTAAAAAAATACAGTACTGAAATCGCCCCGCTTTAAACTTTGTCCTACATGACAGTTTAACTAATACTAGTGTGAATTTGGCATGCTTTGCTATAATGATGTATTATCAGTGGCTTGTTAACGTAACAGTCAAAAACTCTTGCCTAAGTTAATTTTAACATGAACAAATCTAAATGCATTGTTATTTCTTTAAACAACACATTTTCAAATGCTTTAAGAATAAAAATTCCATTTAAGTTGTGCAATGTGCATGAAACGAAGCTTTGTGATATTAGGCAATGTATTTTCACTTGTTCACGTTAATTGGTGTATTTATAAATTCTGCATATTATATTTGAAAAATAAAGACCTAAAAATAACTGATTAAACAGCAAATGTTTTTGTTCCTGAATATTTTTTTTTATAGAAATAGGGTCATGCGAGGAATGCTTTTTTTTCTTTAAATCTTTAAATCTTTAAAGAATTTTCGTTCAACATTATATAACCAAAAACTGTGAAGAAATAAAGGTACAAGGACAATAAAAGCTTCGATTTGAAATTGGATGTGTAATTAGTCGGGTCGAAATTAACTGATTTGATTCTTTTCAAGAGACGATTACTTAAGGAGTTAAATATAAAATCCTGTACAAAGCTTTTATTGGTTGGAAAAGATCGAAAGATTGTCTTAAAAATAGCAATTTTAAACAGTGAAAATTAGGATTAATAAAGAAATTTACGGATATGAAAAATATATTGAGGAAATGATCACATATCAATACCATCAGCATCCACTTCATTTATCATATCTTGTAGTTCAGCATCTGTTGGATTTTGTCCTAACGACCTCATAACTGTTCCAAGTTCTTTTGTTGTTATCGTACCATCACCGTCCTTGTCAAACAGACTAAAAGCTTCCTTGAATTCTGACGATAAAAAAATATTTTCAATTGATTTAAAAGGAAATTAATTATTTATAACAGGTGTCTTTACCCAAAAAAGATTCTTACTGATTAGGTGGAAATCCTAAGGATATTTGATCTAGTACTAAAATCAGATTTATGAATTATATGTAAAATTCAAACAGGTAGAAGAACAGCTACATCGGAAATTGTATGTCTAGATTTAAAACACAGTGGTTCCCACGTGTTATACCTATATAGATATAAGAAGATGTGGTATGAGTGCCAATGAGACAACTCTCCATCCAAATCAAAATTTATAAAAGTAAACCATTATAGGTCAAAGTACGGTCTTCAGCACGGAGCCTTGGCTCATACCGAACATCAAGCTATAAAGGACCCCAAAAATTACTAGTGTAAAACCATTAAAACGGGAAAACCAACGGTCTAATCTATATAAAAAAACGAGAAACGAGAAACACTTATGAACCACATCAACAAACGACAACTACTGAACATTTCTTTTAAAGAGGACAATGCTAATGAAAGTATGTTTATTTGAATAAATGCAGTTTTTTTAATAACTACTGTATGAAGAAAATATGTGGACTGATGATTCCCTTTCTGAAAGAACTTGATAGTATTTGCCTAATGACATTGCTGAAAACATAGCTGTAAATATAAAAATAAGAAGATGTGGTATGATTGCCAAAGAGATAACTCTCCACAAGAGACCAAATGACACAGAAATTAACAACTATAGGTCACCGTACACGCCCTTTAACAATGAGCAAAGCCCATACCGCATATTCAGCTATAAATGGCCCCGAAATGACAAATGTAAAACAATTCAAACGAGAAAAATAACGGCCTAATTTATGTACAAAATAATGAACGAAAAACAAATATGTTACACAGCAACAAACGACAACCACTGAATTACAGGCTCCTGACTTGGGACAGGCACATACAGAATGTGGCGGGGTTAAACTAGTTAGATGGCGCCAAACCATCCCCTTACATGGGACAGTGGTGTAACATCAAACAACAAGAACACACTCTACAAAACAATAAACGAAAAACAAATGTTATAAACAGCAACAAACAACAACCACTCAATTACAGGCTCCTGGCTTGGAACAGGAACATATAAATGCGGCGCGGTTAAATTAGTTTGAAGGTGCCAACCCTCCCCCTAACCTGGGACATTGGTGTAACAGTACAACATAAGAACAAACTATAAAAATCAGTTGAAAAAGGCTTAACTCATCAGATGGATACAACTAGAAATACATCAAACAAAAACAGAGTGGACGTGGCAGGGTACTTAAACATCCCCACAACAAAAAGGCACTTAGTACAGATCTGAGAGTACTCGCAGTTACTGATAGCTAGTTCAAAGCCAATAACAACTAATAAAAAAAATCACGCATCTAAGACTGAAATATCAATCAGTACACATGCATTATCCAATTGATTTAGTGTAAAGGCGCCATTAACAGTCAGAGAAAAACATGACATTGTGCAATGCCAAGATACAGGTATCGGCAGATTGTAGAGCCAGGAATGTGTATAAGTATATATAGAATATAATGGCATTTTTGTTTTTGATACTGACTTTGTCAGCAAGAATTTCAAGCGAGCCCAGTAGGGCAAGCTGATATTCGAGCTGATGAAGTCAGCATCAAAAAATAAAATGCCATTATCCTTTTATCGGCAATTTGTCTTAACTGAATATTTTTTTTGGTTGAGAGTATGAAGAAAAACTACTTTTTACGCGTACAAAACGTTGGGATAGTTGTTCGGTTGTATGAATGAAGTCGCGTGCATTTCATTGATAAATTGACGCGGATGGACTTGAGCACGTGACGTTGCTGCACTGATTCATGACGTCATTTCCTAATATTTTCGAGTATCAAGTCCTGTCTATGATCTTAAAAATATTTAATGAATGGCTATTATTTATTTTGAATTTATTGAGCCATAAAATTAAATTTTGACTCTTCACATTGAATAATCCGCGAAGCGGATTATGTAAAATGTGAAGAGTCAAAAATTAATTTTATGGTTCAATAAATTCAAAATAAATTATTGTCATTCATTATAAATAAATTTCTATCAAACATTAGGCTCAAAGAGCTTTTTATATTATTATTTTTATTAACAATAACAACGTACACAAATGTTGGCGTATGAATACACAACGTCAGAGTGGGCGTATCGCCATAAAAATTGACAACATTGAAAATAAAGGTAATACTTTTAACCAATCAGAAGACAGTAAATACACCAAATTTATTTATTAGGCAGTAAGATCAAAGGGAAAATGTACAAGTTGCAGATAAGTAAAAAATAACATTTAGTTTGATTTTAATTTACTGATAACAAAATCAATATTAATACCAATAAAAACAATATTGACTTGGTAACCTATTTAAAGGATCGATAAGTTTACCCGGATCGTTTCTAAATTTCCGGGCTCGGTAAACAACTTCTCCGTAAAATTTAGGATGTGCTTTCCCGTTTGAAATAAGTTTTCTACAGGTACAACCAAACTTCAAAACCAAATCTTCATATCTATGGAAGAATTTAGTAAAGGCTTTAAGTAATTTGTGGTAACGAAATACCTGACTTAATAATTTACCAGTAATACATAAATTACGTTCATTGAAATCCAAAACGTCACAACAGTTAAGGGCATAGCAAACGAGTTGGGATATATAAACACCGTAAGATGGTGCCAAAGGAATATCACCGTCCAAAAAAGGAAAACTAACAATAGGGAACGAAAAATCGTCCTTTTTGTCGTAAATTTTAATGCAGAGTTTCCCGTGTGAAACTGAAATATCTAAATCTAGGAAAGGACAGTTATTACCATTTATATTGGATTTATTTAAAGTAAGTTCATTTGGGTAAATTTCGGCAGTATATTTAGAAAATTCTTGGTTATTTAACGAAAAAATATCATCAAGATAACGGTAAATGTTGTTAAATTTATCAGTTAAATGCAATTTAGACGGGTCTTTACTGAGTTTGGTCATAAACTGTGATTCACAACAGTACAAGAACAATTCTGCTATTAAAGGGGCACAATTGGTGCCTATAGGAATATCTACAACCTGTCGACTGTCAACTTTATTGCCGAAACGTACATACATATTATCAGAGGAAAATTAATAGCTTCAATCATCTCATCACAACTCAAGTAAGTATATCTAGCATACTTACCTTTCTCATCAGAGAAGAAGGCTTTAAATGAGTTGCAGCAAATATATTTGCATTCAGATTTACCAAACAACCATTTAATTAAATAGGAAAACGTTTGTGTGATAAGATTGTGTGGAAGTGTAGTGTTAAGAGTTGAAAAGTCAAAACTGTCAACAGAATCAAAAGGACCACCAAAAGTATGTAATTTATCTAAAACATCCAAAGAATGTTTTACACCCCAAAAATAGTTAATTACACTATTTTCATATATTTTATTACAAAAAATAATGATAAGTTCTTTGATAGTAGTTAAAGAACTAGTTAAAAGCACTGAACTATTAGTTGTAGAACACTTACTACAGACCGAGATGAAACGATATTTTACAGGTTTTTTGTGTAGTTTAGGTAACTCATACATAGTAAGGACCTTCAAATGTTCAGAAGAGGCCTTAAGCTGTGATGTGGTTATGATATGATTGTTTAATATATGACTCTCTGTGGAGCGCAAGGACTAAGCATGGAACAATTATTTTATTTGAAACCATTTGAGTACCTCTTATAGCACCCTCCCCACTTAAGAGCCCATCCACATCAGTGTTCAGTTTTTGTGTACCAATCAAACCCATAGCAACTGATTTTACACTAAACTCATATTCGAATAAGAGGAGATATCGAATATACGCAAATGAGACAGCACTTGACAGTCTACCGAATGACATACAAATATAAAATCATACAGTTCCTTTCCCACACAATGAGAAAGTAATCCGCGCAAGCGCGGTTATGAAGTACACTTTAAACAGCTGTTTATTATTTTGAGACGGGATTGAGCGAAATTTGGAGACTACACAACGGTAACACAAAATTGGATATGTCTTAGCATTGTTTTTTAATTTTAGTTCATTTATATGTTTTGGAGTTTGGTGTGACGTCCATTTTCATTGAACTAGTACACATTTTTTTAGGGGCCAGCTGAAGCCCGACTCCGGGTGCGGGATTTTCTCGCTGTGTTGAGGACCCATTGGTGTCCTTCGGCTGTTTTCTGCTCTTTGGTCGGGTCACAGAATTCCATAATGTTCTACTGTTGGATAATTTGGCACTCACTAGTGCACAGAAACTGTATTTTCAAATAAACGCGAAGCAAGTTTATGCAAACAAATGCGTCAAAAACCTGTATCATTAAAATGTATCGCTTTAAGTTTGACTACACATTTTCCTGGAAAGTCGAAAAATTCTTTGCTTCATTATCTTTGATGTTTCATCAAAGTTAAATGTTTTTATAGCATTCGTCATTAACAACACCTTCTTAAAAAAAAAGTCTGTTAAATTATGTTTTTACAGACTTTGTGTTAATTGCTAAACTTATAACCCCTTCTATTGACATGAATTTTAGATATTAAACACATCTCGATTATCTTTTCTTTAGTGATAGGTTTCATAAATATATTGGATTCAACTTCAAAATCTTCTAATTTAAAATTTCTATTAACTCTTAGTTAAAAGTTATGAAAATAGAAGACCACTTTAACGTTTGTTTTTTTTACCTCTATCACGAAAATAATAAATCATCAAGAATGTTTGTTGATCATGAAAATATAAGGAGATATGGTAGAATTGCTAATGAGACAACTTTCCACCAGAGTAAAAAAAGACGTGCATGCAAGTAACTATAGGTCACCATCCGGCTTTCAATAATCAGGAAAAGACATACCATATAGTCAGTATGCCTCGACAGTTTGCCTTGACCAAAATGCCTCGACATGAAAAGATGTTAAAAATACCAAAGGAGAAACCCAACGCCCTTATATAGGACAAAA